CTTTACACTACACTTATTATTATTATTATTATTATTATTATTATTATTGTATATAACTTATGCCGATGTTGGAAAAAAAAAGAAAACAATTTTTTCTTTCCGTCCCTAAATCCGTAGTTTATGTAAAATTACATTATCCGTTGTTGTATACTTGGGTGAAAAAAAAGAAAATAGGGATGATTATTTGTTGGTGGTTTTCGAGAGTACCGGAAAAAAACCATCACCCGGCGAGCGGTTGTAAGGTTACTTTCGTGATTTTGCGGTGTATATCGTGAACTAAGCCGGTTAACCAACGTGACTATACCTATATTGTATTGACGAAAGCCATTAAATGTATTGAACTCGTTTTAGCTTGTAGTGACGAAAATACGTGTACAAATAAATAAATGTATTAACATTGTATAATGCAAAAATAATGTGAAATATCGACTAACACGATGCACAACGGAGAACTTTCAACTTGTCCCGATCATTATTTTTATACAGAATAGGTGTGTACATAATATGTACATACTTACCGGCTGTTCGGTTTATGCCTTTACTACTGAATATTATAGTGAGACGTTGTATTTACAAAGTCAGACATATCAGACACTTGTGTATACTTGTAAAAAGAGGCTTGCACCTTTGTATTGTACACGATATCGTTGGCAAAATTTTATCCTTCGCGAGCACAATTCGTAAAAATTTTGCATCAACATCTCCGGTATCTATTTAGTCTATTCTACCAGGGTGAAAGGGTGGAATTATTAAAACATTGTAAATGTCCCAAAATTTAGCGGGAATATTGCAGCACACCACATAACATATTCTGTGGAACACCGCAAACCCTTTGTCCGTTCGTAATACTCCTTTTACTACTTATTGTTTTGAACTATTCTAAAAAATCTCAATTGGTGTGATGGAGTTGGAAGAAAATGTCGGTAATTTTTACCCAACTCTGAGTTTAAAGAGAAATGGCACATTACGTCACTAAGTAGGGCCCAAAGTACAAAAATGAGGGTCCGAAGGGCACGGTTGTAGTTGCGCCTGCTGTTTTTCTTAACGAGGGCGAAAGGTGCAATTTCGCGAAATCGGATGTACTTATGTACTTTTCGCAAACCGCATCTTCATGCAAAAAGAGCCACTTTCGTAATATGGCCCTCCAAAAATCGTGGTACAGTAACTCGCTTTTTTTACGGGATCATCTTCTTTAATAGTTAATTAACGTATTATTATTTACCAAAGTGTCAACCTCTTCTCTCGCGTGAAAGTTGCTAAAACAATGATGTTGAACAGTGATATTTTGCGCATAGATGTGCGGCTCGCGAAGGGGGGGGGGCGAGCTTTACAATACGAGTTCAACATCATTGGTTTAGCAAATTTTACACGAGAGAAGAGATTGAAACTTTGGCAAGTTATTAATTAACTGTTAAAGAAGACGATCCAGACAAAAAATAGCGCGTTATTACACCACAACTTTTTTAGGGCCATTTTACGAAAGCGCTTTTTTCGGATGAACGTGCCGTTTTGCAAAAAGTACACATCCGATCTTGCTGAAATTTTGTGCAACAGTTGGTGGACACAAAAGTTACAACGTATTCAAATTTCAGCTCTTAATCTTTAAAAAAACCTAGAGTTATAAATTTTCGAAATTTTGAACGGAATCGATTGGTATTTGCAATTTGCGAGGATACCGCTAGACCAATCGGCTCCATCGACAGCTCATTTTTTTCGTCTTGTTACGGCACACAAGCTTTTTATTTTAACTCAAACTGTTAATTTCTAACGCAAAACCCGGTCTTTGACATTTTTTACCATTTTTTTTTTTTTTTTGGACCATTACCGGACATGGTAAAGTATTATACTTCAGTTTTTTTTCCAGTTGCATCGGAATGACCAATTGAGTTTAATTTTTTTCCTCCAAACTCGGAATTGGTAACTAAAAACTAATTCTCCTCCACCGCTTATCCATATATACATGCGAGTCATTAAGTAGATGCAGAGCAGTGTATATAGCCGCATGCGACATATAGTCAACACACTGACGCTACGTTGACTTGTTTTACTTGTTCTCTTGAAACTCGGGATCGCGCGGTCGAACGAAACGAAAAAAAAAAAAAGAAAAAAAAAACCGCGCACAACATTTTTATGAAAAATTGTTGAGTTTTCACCTATTCTTATGCGAACGAAAAAAAAAAAAGGGGGAGAGACGTCTTGGAGGAAGCTTAGGAACAATATGAGAGAAAAAAGGGGAAGGGGAAGTTGAGTCCGTTTCGTTTCGCTCGGTTGTCCTTGGGCAAGATTTTCAAATTGTTTTTGCAAATGCCTCGTCGCTGCCATGCTTATGAGGTACATGCATATGGCAGCCGTATAGTCCGTGCGGGGACAGCAGCATCCTATGGCGTGGGAGAGAACACATAATATATTTTGTTCGTGTGCCCCCAACAACGCTCTCCCTCTTTTATTTCTACAATACGGCTACGTATATATAGGTATACCCAATGTTTCATGCACTGGTGTGCAATCGCACGCAAACTCTCATCTCATCTCTCGTGTGGTGAGTGTTGCATCCCCCCATTGTATAAGTAGTAGAAGTGCGGTGCACGACGGACAAGCGTCCTCTTCCTTGATATATTATATACGTATATGCAAACGATCGAGGATGAACTAGGTGACTCGGTTCCTTTTTTTTTAATTTGTTTGTTTACTTGTTGTTTTTTTTTTTTCTCAGTTTTTTAATCAATTGCTAACTGTAAGACGCAGTTTTTTTTTACGTTCTCACCCTTCGTTGCCTCGTTGTATAATACTACCTACGTATATACAACGTCCATCCCTCGGTTTTTATGTACAAGGACCAATGTGGCATCCATTGGACTGAATGTATTTTACATTCGATAATAGAAACAGTGTGTGCTGCGTAAGACAAAGTTTTTTCAAATGGTACATGCATCGTGTTTTTATGGAGTAGAACATTTTTGTTTTGGTTTGGTGTAAGTATAAGTACTTACGGTTCGACGCTCATGTAAATAGTCGTCGCACCGAAGCCGGAGTTGCCGGACGGACCGGACAGAGAGGAAAGTTGCGCGTACATCTGCAGGCAGTTTAAACAAAAGCATTGGGGATATTGGGGGAGAGGGAGAGGCGCGCGCGCACACATCTTTCTCTCTCGCAGAGGCTGCAATAGTTCGCGGCTAGTCGGTGGACTCGGCTTAGAGCCGGTACTCGGTACTCTGGTAGTGTACCTATACTTTGTTACACGCTTATACATTGAAAGAAAGAAAGGAAGAACGCGCAGTATGTAACTACCTAATAGTAAGTAAACAATATATATGTACATATATAAGCATAGGGTCGCAACTGCGTCGCCGTGTCGCGAGTCGCGAGTAAAAGGAGATACCACCTACATCTACAACTCCTTTATATGTGGGTGTATATACGTCGCTAACGCCAAGTCGCCAACCAAACTCCACCTCCACGTCTATACTTTACACTACACGGCTACATAGTGTCCACACACTGGCATGTATACATATATAGGAGTATATACATTGCAGAAACAGAACAGAGAGAGAGAGCCGCGTAGTACAACCAACCAACGTATACGCGGACGCGGAGAGAGAGATCCAAGTAGTCGGAGTGCCTGTTCAGGCAGCCTTCAAGGGTAAACAACATATCAACAACGGAAGGTAGAGGGAAACGGGAGGCGAGAGAAATGGCCAGTTGCAACGGGGAAGTGGACGACGTCGAAATGGAGACGGAAGAGGATAATGCCTCCCAGGCACTGGATGACGAAAGCGGCAGCAAACTGTGCCGCCTCTGTGGCAAGCTGGAGCTCCAGATCGTCGACCTATTCGGCGAATACAGCACCCAGCGCGACCTCGTCCACAAGATAGAGACGAGGCTCTCCATCCTGGTAAGCTAAAGACCGCGTGTCCTTTATCGTCTCGCAGAGCTGTACTTACATTATATTGTACGGTGTACGGAAAAGAGAAAAGGAGAACGAGCACGAGGAGAAGAACAAGGGCCTGTCGATGTGTCTCGATGTTTTTTCTTTCCTGGTGGTCTCAGGCTCAGCTCTTTCTCTTTCTTTTTCTTTTTTTTTTTTTTTTTCAGTACACCTATGATCTGCTTTTAAGTAGAAGTTTGCTTTGCACTTGCTTGTAATTGTTGTAACAACGTAGAATGTATATAATAGTTTTGTCATTAATTTGGTAGGTGTACTTGAGGTATGCATATTTTTTTGCACAAAATTTCACATACTTGTAAGCACACGTACACACAACAAGCATGGCCGTGAGGGGGTTTAGAAAAATGGCCGGCACCAGGAGAGAAAGAGAGAGAAAACGCGAGAGATACACACACTTTTCGGAGTCGCGCGTGCGGTGCACAATATATACCTATATATACCAATGCTCGGGAGAGAATTGCAGTGACGCACCCAGACGCTTTTTTCTACCCATGTTTTCTTTTTTCTCCCTTGTCTTCTTCTTCTTCTTCTTCTTCAGGATAGGGTGCGCACTTTTCCTCGCAACTCTCTTTCTCTCGACTCCATGCCAAATGCCGGCGTTGATCCTTCCTCTGCTTACTTATATCTTCCAGCGCGTCCTATTCGAACGCTTTGATTCTGCATCTTTTCTTGGTCTTGGATGTATTACCTTTTGGTGATGCTCTGCTGGTAGAATTTAAAGGATATAAACACCTTTTTTTTGTGCAAATATTAATATTACATGCATATGCTTTTTTACCCATACCGATGATGCGATTCCATTGTTACTTGTGTGCTTTTTTTCTCCGTATTAATTTATTTTTTGGTTTTTTTCCCCGTCTCTCCTTTAATTTCCTTTCCTTTCACACACCTGTCAATTATGAACTTACGTATTTATTGTGGTTTTTTTTTTTTATTTTTTCGTGTATACACGGCTTTTAGATATTTTTACGATGTAGGTACTTCTTTTTTTTTTTTTTTTTTTTTTTTTCCTTTAAAATTAACAGAGGTAGTTTTTTTTTTTTTATGTGTTGTAACATTGTAAAATAAAAAAAAAAAACCTGTATAATAATTAGTTTTAAAATGAATAGCTTGCAATTGGAAAAAGGTAGCAGTAAGAGTCAAATTAGAAGAGAATTGTTTGGGTATCCATTATGCTAAAAAGATCGCGGCCTCTAGAGCAGTAGGGTAAAAAACAAAAGGTGCGTGGTGTAAAAATCTGTTAATCATTTAACACTAAAGTCACATAAAACCAACCTGCTTTCCAAAACACTTTCGAAAACCGACAAAATTCTGTCACTAACAAAACGAAACTGACTAAAAATCATCACTGTCTGGATTTTGAAAGATGCGTTATGTTTAAATCTAGATAGATGAGAGTGATCCTCTGCCCAAGGCGATCTGCATACAGTGTGTGGGTAAACTTGAATTTGTGTGCGACTTTCAAGAGGAGTGTCTGCTCATCCAAAACGTGTTACACGATCAGTACAACCTACCATCTTTAAATGTTGTAAGTTTGTACCTTCATCAATCTACTGCTCTACTGCTCTTTAACAATTTGTGCAGTCTGCAAAATTTTTATTTCTTCTATTCCATCGTGTGATTTGATTTTAGGATCAAAACTTACATCTATCTGCACTTGTAATACAATTCCAACTTCTTAAAATTATCTACCAAGCCGAGAATATTTTAATTATTTTTTTTATTTAAAATAACGTCATTGGGTCCACAATATTGTTTCAGTAAAGTTATCCGTGATTAGATCAATTTTATGCAGTTTTAAATTTAATGTTAATCATTTGTTGTCTTCAACTGTACGAAAATTGTTTAATAGCACGAGATGGCAGTAAAATTTAGTAAATGGTACCCATCCGATTTTCTAATTTGATCTCTCTTTAGGATGAACAGAAACCTGAAGAATCAATAATATCAATACCAAGTACTTCAACAATTGCTGAAAACAATAATATTATCAGTTTGATAGAAAATGCTGAAATTATTATAAGCAACGAAAGCATAGTTGAACATTGCATCAGCAATTTGAATAATAATAACATTTGTGATAAAAATTTGAACCCTCCAGAAAATGATACAAATCTAGATGAAACTAGCTGTGCAAAGGTTTCACCTAAAACAAGAAATCTTAGGAGTCAACTAACAAAAACTGATGTAAAAAACGAAACTCTAGATGTACAAATTGAATTTGAAAATGATGAAAATTTATTAGCAAGTATTCAGCAACCGGAAATAACAACTACCACACGTAAACTCAGAAGTAGTCTGAGTACAGAATCGTCCGATGCAGACGTTAATGTATCAAAAACCAAACGTGCCTCTATAAAAAATAAAAGACTGAGAAGTCACAACGGTAGTGTTGACAGTACAACGAATTCTAATGAGAGTTCCAACGCAAATCAAATTGTAGGAGAGATAAATAATCAAGAGGATTACATTAATAAAATCCAAATTCCTACCAATACTTTGAACAAAGTATTGTCAGCTATAACTAATACTCCTGGTATAGGTGTTGCTGTGAAAGAGCCTACAAGTCGCAGCAGTGATGTTGAAGATATAAGTTTTACAGTTGAATTGAGTAAGAAACAAGAGACAGATTCCTTGACTGTACTAGCCAAAGTTTTTCCTAATCAAGGATCATGTTTAGTAGACGAATCGATAGTTACATTCCTAGAAGAGGGAACTACAGATGAAGTTAATACTCTTGTTAATAATATTGTCAATCCAGCTGCTTCTAGGGACAATAGTCGCAGTTTGATTGATAAATTGCAAAACGCAGAGGATATCTCTAATAACTCGCTAAATCCAGAGGAACTCTATAAAATGGACGGTCTAGAGATTCATGTCGATGACAATGTTGAACAGATTCATGTGAACAATCAAGTGAGTTACGCTTGTAAAATATGCCGAAAAGTATACGAACGCAAGGACAAGTGCATAGTCCATGTAAAAACACACCTTGGAATCAAGCAGTACATGTGCATTTTGTGTCAAGCGAGATTTGTCTGCAAATCCGACGTTATGAAGCACATACGTTGTTCGCACACCAATCCCCGACCCATCGCATGCTCCAAATGCCCCAAAAGATTCAGATCTAAGTTTGACTTGGCTGAGCACATGAACGTTCACAAGGGCATCAAACCATATCAGTGCGCCGATTGTGATCAAAGCTATCATCACAAAGTTTCGCTACAAATGCATGTTAAATCTCACATGCCTCCTCAAAACTTGGCTTGTGAATACTGCGGAAAAGTCTTCCCTTACCGCACGAGATTACTCAGTCACATTGGCAGCGTTCACATGAAGGACAAGCGTAATTTTCGATGTCGCTTCTGTTACAATCTATACTCGAGCCTAACCGTCTTGAACGAGCACATTAAAACACGGCATACGACCACCTACACCTGCGAGACTTGCACCAAAACTTTCAAAGTAGCTTCCAAGTACAAGACTCACGTGTTGCAGCACAGTAACCCTAAACCATTTGGTTGCAACATTTGCAAAAACCGATACGCTTCCAAGGCCTTTTTAAATGAGCATCTTCTGAAGCACCAAGGTGTCCGCAAGCATGTTTGCCCGAAATGCAATGCTTCGTTCGCGCAGGCAAGTCATTTGGCTGCCCATCGTCACGTTCACGGAGAAAAAAGTTATCCCTGCCCTGAGTGTGGCAAATTGTTCAATCGCCGCGATAACATGAAGGTTCACAGAAGACGGCACTTTATGTCCATCGAGAAAAAAACCAACGTCAAGCAAAGGATTGGTTCCAACGATGAAAATGTGATTGACGCTAATGAGAATTGAAGATTGAAAGTATATTCACCTACTTAATATGTGATCAATCAGGATGACTTTTTTTATACATATAAACATATCATAAGAATTGATTATTGCGATGGAAAAAATATGTTCCATTTGATTCCAATTTCTAATGCTTAGTGTTAGGTCATTTGTTAATCTAGACTTTATATACTTATCGTAACTTTTTTTTTTTTTTTTTCTACTCATCAGCTATCAATTTTTGATTATGAAATTTTTTATACGAACTTCGTTGAGCTGTTACATAAAATTTAATATTTTTTTTAACAATTAGATTTGTTAGTGTTAAAATTGTTTGTACTGTGTGATGAATCACATAACAATCATGCGCTATTACAGTAGACAACAATATCTTATACTTTAAATGAAAATTATTGGGCTTCCAAAAGTCATTCAATTCGATAATAGAACTTAATATTTTTCAAGTACTTTTACAAACTTTCCAAGAATTAAATTTTTGGACGTTTTGGAGATTTCTAAATAAATATTAGAACTTGTTTACTGTAGATAATCATGTACATTAAAATTTCTTGTACATTAGGCAAAACGCAAACTCCAATGAAATTTAAAGATTTTGCGAGCCTAATTTCAAAGTACATCCATATTTTTTTTATCGATCTAGATGTACTTTATTAAAACTTACAAAGTGCCTAAGCGTATTTACACAGTCTGGAACTTGACTTGTAAAAATGGCAGTATTTTATTGGATGATTCCACGAAGCAACTTCTCTCTCATTAAAAGATTTTTTTTTTTTTGTGCGAATTATAAGTCAAGTTTCACCAAGTGTATAACGAAATGTTAAAGTCTGTCGAAAATACCGTTAGTGTTGAAATTTTCAAAATGACAGCTGTAATAGATGAAGTGCCTTGAAAAAAAAGTGATTTACGAAAAGATATTTGTAAAAGACTATAAAAACTATTTATAAGGCTACTGCCACTTTGTAGTTTTTTTTATAAGAATCTTATACCTATTGTAGTTGTAGTATCCTTATTTTTTGAGACGTATGGCATGGAAAAAAAGTTAATCTCTTTTTCATAATGTACGAAAGCAATAAATATTTTTTGTATTAAGTTTTGAACCCATGAGATCTTTGTTGGAAAAATATTTCTGTACAGCAATAGAATTATTTTCTATAAACTAGCAATGTCATGAGTTATGAGAGTTAGAAATAAAGTTACTCACATTTTTTTTAGTACTAGAGACCTTTTCTTTACCAATCTCGTACTCCTTTCCTGTTTGAAAAGCTAGAATAATGGATCGCATCATGTAGTTGTAGAAAAATTTAATACGATTTAGAAAAATTTGTATTTATTTTTCGTCATAGGTCCGACCAGACGATGGACTCTCACACTACGTATGTTTACTATGTATAGGAGGCTTGGAATTTATAAGCGATTTCCAAAAACAGTGCCATGATACTCAAAAAAGTTTGCATTCCTCACTGGTAAGAAAATACATTTACAATACAAACATATTTTTTCTTGATCCGTATGATTATTAAATTATTAAATAAGCGTAACTGTAATCAGAATGCGTCAAATATAGAAGTGCCAAATAAAAAACCTGAAAGCGATGGAGAATCCGATAAAGAGAATGCTTCTCCCAGCAAAAAATCAACTTCAGATAATCTTCCAAATAGTAATAATATTTGTGATAAACCGTGTGATGAAATTACCATTAATGCGAGTCCACAAATAAGCAATTCAATGATGTTAGATACATTTGATACGGAACAAACAGCAAATATTTTAATGCAAATAAAGAATTCAAGAAGTTTGGAAACAAAAAGAGTTGGTAGAAATACGCCTAAATACGTGACTGAAAGTACAAAGATAAACGTTAAGAATAATAAAAAGATGAAAAGTATCAATAATTCTCCAAAAATTACAAGTTCTAAGACAAAAAATATCAAAGAAAATGTTGATCCCAATGATGTCGGATGCAATAATCAAGGAGACGTTATTTTTGAAGGAACGGTAGTTGATTCTTCCGAAGGCACATCAATTATCATGCCTATAAAAATTGATTCGATCAACGCAAATTTGCAACTTGACGATGCAGTGATGGCAGATGGTACGGGTGAAATAGTAAAAGTTCAGGAAATCATTTTAAACACCGAAAATACTAAAATGGTCTTTGAAAATGAAGTTGCAGATACCGACTCCTTGTACACCCCAACAATTCTCAACGGCTCCAATGACCAATCGTTTTTTTCCAAAGAGCACCTATCAGGCAAAATTGATGAAATTGACGGAGCAAAAGTATCTGAATCTTATTTGCAGTTCTCCCCATCTAGTCCATTTAACTCATCAAAACATGAAAAGATGTCGAAATTACTCACAAAAGAACAGAAAGAAGAAATAGAGAAATCTTATGTGATGGACCATTCACTCATTGACGAGGAAAAAATATCTAGTTATATGACGGAACAAATGAACAACAAAAGTAAAAAATCCTACGTCTGCACTTACCAAAACTGCAATCGGATTTTTGACAGGCGTGATAAGTGTGGAGTAAGCATCATCGTAATAAATTAAATAATCAAAATTTTATGTATTCAATGGAATTTTAACAAAATTATAAAATACGTTTTCAGGTACACATTCAAGGACACTTGGATATGAAACCGTACTTGTGCAAACAGTGCAACTTTAAAACAGTTACCGTCTCAAATGTTAAAATCCACATAAATAAAGTTCATCTCAAAGTTAAGCCATATTCGTGCTATTTGTGTCCAAAAACGTACAATACGCATAGCGCTTTGGTGGATCATATTAACGGACACCAGGGCCTGAAACCTTACGAATGTGACTCTTGCTCATTCAAATGCGGAAGCAAACAATCAGTTAGGAGTCACATATTAAATCACCACCAAAAATTAGCCAAAGTAATGGAAATACTTGATTTAATTATTATAAAAATTCTTTCACCTACCGTTATTAAAATGTATTTATTTTTAGGATTTTCCTTGTGACATATGTGGTAAATTATTTTACCGAAAAAACCAAATGCAAACTCACAGAGTGATTCATGACAAAAGCCGCAGATTCAAGTGTAACCTTTGTTCCTCTTATCTCTTGAGCAGAGAGTCCCTTCAGCTGCACATGCAAAGGTCACATCAGAAAAATTATGCCTGTGACAATTGTGAAAAGTCATTCGTCAGCAAAAAGGCATTAAACAATCACAAAATTGTAAGTCTCTTATCTTTCATAATACATTTGCAGAGTCTTAATTTTTTTGCGCTACATATAACATTTTTTAACAGACTCATTTCCCACCTCGATACAAGTGCATCTATTGCGGCAATTTTTACAAGAGTAAACATACCCTCAGAGATCACACGTGGTATCACCATGAATCCATTTACAAGTACATTTGCTCCAAGTGCGGTAAAAAATGTAAGTCAAAGGCTAATCTCTCAACGCACATGGCGGTACACAGTAGCATAAGGTTTGTTCTGCTTCTTTAACAAGTGGCTCGCCATGCTTTTGGTGCACTTTAACATTTATATCTTTTGCAGATTCGGTTGCCCTTCTTGTGGAAAAGCTCCCAGTAATCGTTATGACAATTTGAAAGAACACATGAAAAAATGCATAAAGGATAGGCCTGACTTACAACACTATCTAACACGAAGACCGATAAGTTACTCAAAAAACAGAACTGCCAGAGTTAAAGCAAAAAATTAATATACTATTTCAGGGTTCATAGTGACGAACGAAATAAGGCTCAATATTTTGTAACACGTTTTTATACTATTTTTTTACAGTAGTATTTTCCATTAGGGAATAAACATATTTTTTATAGATCATCGAAATGATGAATTTGTGTAAACGATGCGTCTAAACTTGTGTCACGGGAAGTTATCCGTGAAAAACAAGGTAAATTAAGTATAAGTGCAAAAAAAAGGAAAAAAAGAAGAAAAAAAAATGATAAAAAGTAATTTTTGTACTCCATTATTAAAGTATAAGCTGAAATATAATCCCCTCGAATCAATACGTGTTAATTAAAACACGATCTCATGGCAGTATTTTTATAACAATTTTTTAATCGCGAAAAATAATCGTAAGGCTGGAAATGTGAAAATATTTTTACACGTCGGAAGATAAATTTTGAAAACTTACGCCTAAGATTGATTCATATTTTGATAAGCTCAATATTTTCGAGGATATAAGTAATAAGAAGCATAAAGACTATATTTTTTAAGGAATTAACATGTACTCAATATGTTCAAGACTGAACAACAAACAAGCAAACGTGTACCTACATTTTATAATTTTCTAATAAAGTTTTGAAAAAAAAAAAAAAAAAAAAAAAACCAACACTTTTTATTCACTTTTGACCTGAATATCAAGCTAATATATCACTCTTGACGGCGTTGACTTGAGGTGCCTCGCTCACGTTTAACTTCCAACAAACTTACCGGCCTCTACCTTCTATATATACTTTACCGGTTTTGTTGTCATTGAAACAAAGCGTTTCGAAAAAAGAAAAAAAAAATTTGAAGTTTGTTGAATATACTTTAAGGCCCATTATAAAAAAAAATAAATGATGACTCGGAAGCATAAAAATGAAAGAATATAGTTTGTACAGCGGAGGTAAGTATGTACCGCTAGAGAGGTGGTAAGGTGAAAGTCCGAGGTGTCCTGGATTCCATCACTTTTTCGTACGGGTAAAGCTTTAGCGTGAGCCGGGATCAGTACACGTCAAACGCGCGACTCGGAGATTCACTTGTGTGCACCGCGCATATTTTTATTTATTTAACTTTGCCGAACGAGTCGATCAACCGATCGAAAGATTCGAAAGTCGAGGAAACAAAAGAAGGAGGTTTATTCGACGATGAGCACTTTGACGCCGCCCAAGTATCGTGTCCTGGGCGTTGAGAAAACCAAGGCGCTGCTCGATCTTTTTAAGGGTGAAAAAACCGGTTGGGTACAAGTGGGGGAGAAAAATTGGCTTTTCCCGTACAGGTACGCGGAACAGGGCGAGGGATTCTTTAACTTCGAGGCGAGACCGTCCGACGTTTGGGTGCTGTCCTATCCGAGATCAGGTATATACTCTACTTATTTAAATTAGCCATTTTACAACATTAAATTTTCGACGAAATTTGGATACTGTTGATTTTGCAAACTTAAAAAACGTAATTATTTGGCTTTTTCTTTTTAACGTGTCAAACAAATCTAGTGCGACCATTGCATTAACCGTTAACACGACCTCGTTCGAAAGCGATTCGAATTTCGTTTCGATCTCAAGCAGAAATTCTTTTTATTCATTAATTGGTAATAATTTTTTTAAACAATTAATTAAAATTAAAAATAAATAACAACAATTCACAAAGTTTCGATTCAAGACAACTATGTAATAAAAATTAGCAATAAAAGTTCTCATTAACTATGTTTCTCTGTCTTTCTAGAATGACATTTATGATGAAAAAAAAAAAAAAAAAAAAAAAACTGATAAAAAAAGCATTGCTCATTAAATTTTATGACTTGTCTCATATCTGGACTTTTATGTATTTCTTATTATCAGTAATTATTTTTTATTCATTACAATATAATTGTCGCTTGGGAAGCTTTCATTAAAAAAAAAAAAAAAAATTAGCAAGATTTACTTTGTTGAATGCAATTGGAGAGGAAAAAAAATATTTAATGTCGTCAGGAACAACATGGACCCAAGAGCTCGTTTGGCTCGTAGCGAACGACATGGACTTCGACACAGCCAACACTCGCCTGTTAGCCGAACGATTTCCCTTTTTAGAGTAAACGCAAGCACATTTACACTATACACTTGCAACAAAAATAATCAAAATTGTTTTACCTCGTGCATTTTTTTCCCCCCTCCCATAGATTTAGCATGTTCCATCATCCAGAGTTGACGAAAGAATTTTTAGAGCACAACAAACTTGACGCGAAAAAACAAGAGCTTTGCAAGGAACTGGCGAAGCCCGGCTATGAGGTTTTGGCCAACATGCCGTCCCCGAGGTTCATCAAATCCCACTTTCCGTTCAGTTTGATACCAAATGTCGTCAACAGCGGCTGCAAGGTACAGTTTTCACTTTACTTTTAATTTGCGTTTTCAAGTATGCATACACACTTTCATTCGTGCAAATTTCTTCTCAGATGATTTACGTGGCCAGAAATCCAAAGGACGTGGCGGTGTCCTGGTACAAGTTGAACCAAGCGTTTCTCACCCAAGGCTACGTCGGCGACTTTGCTCAATTTTGGAAGTTTTTTAAAAATGACTTGAGTAAGTGCATGTCTATAGACCTTCGTTGCAGGTTGAAACTCGCTATTACACGAAATTTTGTTGATCTAGCTGCTTGGAGTCCTTACTGGGAGCACTTGAAAGAAGCATGGGACAATCGGAAGAACGAGAATTTGTTGTTTATTTTTTACGAGGAGTTGCAAGAAAACCTAAGGGACGTTATCGAAAGAGTGGCAAAGTTTTTGGGCAAAGCTTACAGCATGGAACAAGTAGATAGGCTGGTCGACCACTTGAGCATAGACAATTTTCGCAAGAATCTCATGGTCAACACGCAAGAGTTGAAGGACTGCGGTATCGTCAGGAAAGAATCGGAGTTCGTTAGAAGAGGAGTCAGCGGCGGCTGGAAAGACTACTTCACCGACGAGCTTGAGATCGAAGCCGATGAGTGGATCGAAAAGAGTTTAAAGGACACGGACCTACGATTCCCGTTAACGAATAACAATTGGTTTTGAGCGTGTTGTGTTGTTATTTACGTTTTTTTTTTTTTTTTTTTTTTTTTTTTTTTTTTTTCATTCTACACTGTTGATCTTGATGTTATGAATCAGTTAATAATTACAAATAAAGTTAATTTTACATTTTGACAAAAGTTGGATTAATTTCAAAACGAAATTCCAATTGATAACGGAAAAAAACGTCAATTCAACTGTCATCTGCGCTCTTTGTACAGGGATGGCCGTTAAGATGTTTAAAGATGAAAAACGTGTTTAAAATCAACTACTTTTATTCAAATTACAAATAATTTACAAAAGTATGGACTTTTTTCAATTCGCTATCGACTTTTGGATACTTGTATTATTTAGAAAACTGTACAATATAAATTTATTACTTGCTTTTATTTAATCTTAATTTTTCTTTTACCTCATTACCAGGTACTTCGAGTCTTAATCTCACAGTTGTTTGAAATATCTTGCACAAATCTTGCTCAGCATTTTTGGCCAGCATCTTAATTCGTTCCCCACGTACTCCTACGAGTAGTCTTGAAATTCGACTTGTAGGGCATTGAATACGAACTAAAACATCCACGGTGTTGTCTGGATAGTAATCCAAATGCTCGACTCCTACATTAACTCTATACGGTAATTCTTGATTTAAGCTATCCAAGAGTTTCGATCTAACAACTCGTTGAATCATATCATTCACTGGCTGGTCTGTTATGGTATCTTTCTTGTACTCCCAGTTTTTATCTTTAGCAGAATCTAAGAAATAATTCTGAAACAGAACGCAACAAATAATAACTTGTAAATAATCATTAAAAAATATACAAGCAATTATTAACAAAAACATACTCTTAAATCATCAATCCCGTCCCCTGTTAAAGCGGAAATCATGAAAACATCAGTAAAGTTTGGCCAAATTTCTTTACTCGTTAATTTTGCAACAACTCCCAAAAGATCTTTCTTATTAGTCAAGGTGTCTATCTTGTTGAGAATAAGAATGGAATTCGTGTCATCTCTTTTCGATTTGAGCAAAGATAGAATCTTTTCACTAATAAGTTCCCTAGATCGTATGTTAGTCATATCTTGCACAACCCCTACGACGTCTGCCTCTTTCATGGAGTTTTCAGCGTCTCTAGTAAAGCTTTCTTCCAATTTGTATTTCTTTATGTCACCTTTTCCCACCAATCCAGGCGTGTCTAGAAACACCAGCTGTGTATCGTCTATGGAGCATATCGCAGCAGCCTTGCTCCTAGTGGTGTGAACCTTTTGTGACACTGCGCATACCTAGACCAAAGAAAAAAAAACAATCCACAAACTACACTTTTTACCAGGTCGTTTCAATGACATACCGGTCTTCCAATCAGATGATTGATGAGCGTGCTCTTGCCGACGTTTGGCAGGCCAAGGATAGCGATCTTCAGCGATTTGATGTTTTTCCTGTTATCCCGATCGTTGAAAAAGCCCTTCTTAGCCTCGATGAGGCTTTCACCAAGGTCATCAGCAAAATTCGATACCTGTCTGACGATTTGCGTGCTCACGCGTGCGACTTTTTTACCGATGAATATCCACATAGCAGATATGTGTGTGTCCCCGCGATACCAAAGAACTCGACTCGTTTCTAAATCTTAGCGTAAAATCATACTGTCACTGCTGTAACAGATATGATATAATGATTTTATTATTATGCTTTTAGTGTCGAAACGAGATATTATATATATTTATATAGAGGTGATATCAAAGGTTATGTCGAACGTGGAAAGTGTGTTGAGAAAAATCAGAGGGGGTGAGAGAGGACAGATCGACAGATGAGCTTAGGAAAATGCGAGATAATTATTCCTTACGCAATCACGCGCTCACGAAAGATGACTACGATGGACCATTGTTGTGTTGTTAAATAAAAAAGAATCCCGTCCACACACACTTACATACATATAATCAAATTTTATTTATTTCGTGTATATATATATATATATATNTATGTTATTTCCGATGCGTTTAGTTTATGTTAATCATGCGTTTTGTTTAAATTATTGTGATTCTCGTGCGTGCGTGCTTATTCGTATATTTCGTCATATTTATTCAGTTTGTAGTTATTAAATAAAAAGGGTTTTTTTCTGGCTTCGTGTCCTTTTTCCCTTCAAATTCTTGTGTTATTATTTATAGCCTAATATCCAGTGTAGTATTAAATATAATTACATGCATGCAATTAAATTCAGTGCTTCACAATAAAATAACTTCCTTCTTTTATACGGCGACCGAGCCACCTAAGGCAAGGTCATCGGATTAAACAACAGGCCTCACCACGGTAATACGTACACGACCGTCTAACATACTCTTGGTACCTAATACCGTGCATAAATATGATTTTCTCTATAAATTAATCATATAAATATTACATTTTTATCCTAATTTGAGCTATTCTTGGATATTAATATCAAATAATTTTTTTGCGACCGCTATTACACTTTTTCAAAAATTAAACAGCATTTTTGTAAATGCACGGTAATATAGGGCACGGAAATATGTCACTTATTTTTTTTCGGCTGCTTGAATCTCTTCTGCTATATTATGTACACAGTACACACATACACACACGCGCGCGCGCGCACACACATACAAAGCGGCATTTAGTAGCTGCTTTTCATTTTCATGTTCAATCACTTCAATCTTAGGTATATTTTTATTACCCGTGGAAAGTGTAAAAAAAGTGAATCAACGTTTATTTATATACGTTACAAAACCTCACCATTTAGATTGATAAATTTTTTCATTATTTTTCCTACTTTGGGTGTTTTTGAGGCAATTTTGAGGGTAGCTCAATTAAGGAAGCAAGAAGATTACCTCATTTCTTCGTTACGATGCATTTTTAACAATTTCAGGAAAAAAAAAATTACTTTTTTACTTTTTGCAGAATATCCCCTCTCCAGTGCGTTTTTTGCCTTATATGCCCATAGGTTTTTTGTTCCCCTAATTATTACCTACGAAATAGTGGTGGTTAAAAGTCGCTACGTTTTTTTTGTTTATAAATAAATTGCAAATCAATCGGTTTTGTACTTTTTGATTAATTAACAATCGAAATTTTTGAAAGAGCTGAGTTGCATAATGCGCCAAAGTTTCCAGTACTGTCTAATTGTGATCAAATCTGGCTTCAAAATTCAAAAAACTATTAAAATTCAGTATCCCGTTGAAGTTAAAAAAAAAAAAAAAAAAAAAAAATCTAATTTTTACCGATTTTATAACGATTCATTTGACCATATTGGTTTATGACATACGTAAAAACCATACAACTTTTTCAATTGTAAATATTAAGGATTCGCTTTTGCACATTTCAAAAGCTGATATAATTTTCTGGTACATCTAACGGTAAATTAACTGTTTTTTTTTTTTCCCTTCAATATTCCACTTTGAAAACCAAGACTCGACATAAAAGAGTGCACCCCTGAAAAAACGGTAAATGCCAATGGGTCACGAAAAGCTCTGCACACGCTCCTCCCCCCCCCCTATCCCGACCCTAGCACAGCTGAAAGCCAGATGCCCAGATGTGAATCGCTGTTGGATCGATTGAGAGAGAGCAAGTTCATCACGATGTTGGACGGATCGTGTCCGAAATGAAATATCCGAATAGGACACCGTCCAAGCGAGCAGCTGAACGAATCCATAGGTTGTACCAGCGTATACACAGCTACAGCTCACTCATCGGGGGTCCGGGGGAGTCGGGGCTGCGAATACATACATATATATGTATAGGTACACATAAAAAAAATAAGAGAGGGGCTGGTGTGTATTTTATTACAGATGTAGGCTCTCTCTCTCTTTTACATGCAAGTGATGCATTTGCGCATTTAATACTTAGCCATCAGGGCTTGCGTCAGGTTGCGTTCATCGTTTGCCCTCGCGAGAGTGTACACGCGATCGCTTTGTTGCAGTATAGGTATACACATATACGTTATTTTACAGGCATCGCGTCAATCGCGTGCGACTCTGGAAAATTCAAAGAAAAGGGATGATGATTTGAGACACGTTTGTTTATTCGATCGCCCACGAGCGATAGCTCAACACGCTACATCTGCGATACATATATGGTTGTTACATATTTATGTGTACAACATAATATATACGCGTTGTACATTACACATACCTACTTATACTTGTGTGCTAATATACGTGCATAAAGGTATATATGTATAATACACAACATAGATATGACGTGCTAGCTATATAGGAAATGAACGTGGCGACGACGGAGCTTGCAAGCTCAATTTACCGCACGCGCGCACGCGTCCTGAGCTTTCCTCCCGTGCTGTGTATAGTGTGATGTCATGTGTGCGGCTGATGATGAGCTTCATGTGTGTCCCAGATGATGTGAGACGAGCGAAGAATATATAAGATGATCATGATGATGACCGCCGTGTGTTTTGATTACCGTCATTATCCAAACAACACCTGTTTTTTAACAATCGCCGAGGTGAGTGACTATTCATCATGTATACACGTCATTATGTCTAAAAATTTATACTTGTACATCCATTATTTCCATTGCAATTGTTTACGGTACAACCACAAAATATGCACTGCATGTGTATATATACACATACCAATACAAATATAGGTATCGAGCGACTATTTTTAATTGTCGGCGTTCGATTTTCTTTCTTTTTTTTTTTTTTTTTTTTTTTTTTTTTTTTTTTTTTTTTTTTTTTTTTTTTTTTTNTTTTTTTTTTGTCTTTCCCACGTAGTACTTACCTACATACACGTGAAACCTTGCTGTCTTACGCTCGTCCATAATAAAAGTATATACGATTAAGACCCCCTTTTTAATTGCGTTAATGCTTTTTCTTTTTTTTTTCCATTGCAGGTCTTTGAGAAAGTTTTGACTTCGTCCCTCGGTAATGTGTCAAGAAGCCACGATGAAGCCCATCAGTTATCATCGAGTTGTTTGTTTTTTTAAGAAAAACACGCATTAACAATATATAAACGGCACAAACGCATATTTTTTTCTTGCACATGTATACACTCGCGCATACTTGAGCACCTGTTTTTATTTTTTTTTTTTTTTTTTTTTTTTTTTTCTTATTCGCAGAAGCATATACAAAATATACACGTTTTTTTTCGGTACACGTTATTTACACAAGAAGACTATATTGTATAGAAGAGAGAACTTTACGACTGCGAGCAAGAATAATATGCATTTCTGGATCGACAAGCCCACGGGGAGATGTCCCCGGATCCACGGCAGGCGTTATCGCATGAACGTCCCAAAATCACATTTCGGTAAGCACATATAAGTACCAGACTCCCTGCACGTGTACACAAATTGTACACTTTCTCGGAGAGGAACAATAAGTATGTAAGTACTTACGTATCTTTTTTTTTTTTTTTTCGTGTACAGCGAGCCATCATCACCATCGCTATGCCATCGACGACGTGGCTGGATTGCACATGTTCCCCCCGTTGCCTCGGTTTCAGAGCAACGACGTTAGCTCGGCCGGGCCAAGCAACAATAACAACAACACTAGGTCGCTGAGACCAACGGCGCAGGAAAGTGTTGATAGAACTGATGCGGCGCAACCCGGTTGCCACCAACTGGGACAGGACAACATCAGCAAGTACGACATGCATCAGTTATTTGTTCATTTATCAATGCACTTGTGTATTTATATACGCGAGAGGGCGACAAAAGTGCGATTCTTTACATTAAAAAATAATATAATGTATAATCCGTGTCGTTGCGTTTTGCAGTATTCATTCTAATAATACCGGTAACAATCAACGGGTACTGCCTCAGTCGACAAATGATACAAATAGAGGCCTTCTCAACGTTTTGGAGTGCAATGAGGCTGACATGAGAGTCTACAACGTTGGGATCACTCTCGTCACCGTCATTGCTTTTCTCGCTGTCACTAGATTTTATTTTGACTACCAGGTAATTTACAACCGCATACTTACATGCTTCTTTTTATTTAAACGAATTAATTAAAAGTGTATATGCACACGAGTTTTGAATCAAAAAATTTGGTTGCTTGAGGGAAACGATGAGAAAGAAAAAAGTATATATTAAAATATTTTCCAGCAAAGCGAAGGAATCCAGGTGTTCGTGATATTCGGTCTTCTGGCGTTCTTACTGCTGTACAGATGCATCATAAGGATTCTCTGTCCAACCGTGCCGTCGAGCCATCACCATCACCATCAGGAGACAACGCCGGTCTCCGACCCAATAGCCACCGTGACCGTACTCAACACGATTTCCAATGAAAGTATTAGCGACGTCCCCATGCCGATCCGCCAGAATCCACCTCCCCCGTATCACATAGCCATCCTCATACCACCACCCGCGTCGGCCGACGAGGCACCACCCCCGGCTTACGACAAAATCATTCACTAAATGATTCCGTGCATCGTCAAAGAGATACTTACGGTGCCACACCATGTAGCTCTCTTCTCTATTATAATCTAGTCGTTGATTCGTTCGTTCGTTCGTACGTAAATAATAAAATATATTCGGTCGTTTTCTCGAGCTGTAAGTAACTTGCTTTTTTTTTTCTCTTTTCACTTTGCCTCTATTGGTATGTATAAAAAGAAAGAAAAAAAAGAAAAAGGAAAAAAAAAAAACAATCCTTTGTATGCCCCTTTATCTCTCTATACTTTTTACCTCTTATCGATCTCCTCTCTTTGACACTTCGGTAAGGGTAAATATTTTGTATGTATATACTTATGTTCTGTTGTCCTATTAGGAGCTGATAACGCGTTTTCAAATCTTATATACTACAACCACGTACTATCATAGCTGAGAGACAAAAAAATAATAACGGATTGAAACAATATAGTGTATACATATATATACATATATATATATATAATATACACAAACACGTAGATTTTTCGAATGTGATATTTCATTGGCCAAAGGAGACAACTTAAGAAAGAAACATTACTTGTATACTGTATACTAATAACTTGAAACGTAATTTTTATATTTTCTTATGTCTTATATATGTCTTGTATTGTGTACATGTCAAAACACAAAGTACGATTTGACGAATAGTTTCATCTTAATAGTACTAGATGATATGTGCATCTTAATCTCGGAAGAAAAATTATAACAGTGTTTAATTCAGCTTATGGCATAAAAATTCTCGAGTACAAGAATGTAAGAAAAAAAAAAAAATAAACAAGTAATGATATTTTAAACGCGCGCAACTACAACATTATCAATACATTAAGCGACAGGTATGTGCTTATACAAAATTATTTATTAACAAAATTTAGGTCAAACATATTATATTACACATCTGAAGTATAATATACTTATATATATTCATTGGAAAGTTCATTAAGACAATTAGTTATAACATGAATAACGTTAAAATGTTGAAAGCCTAATAGGTTTGTCGAAAAAATAAACATTTAGTTATTAAAAAAAAATTTTAAAACATATTATTCACTATTGTGTAGCGAGGTTACATATGAATTTATATATAATTTGCAGTACTGCCAAATATATATTGAATATTTTGATAAATTGTGTATTCTCATGTACTTGAGTAGCAAACGTAAAAGTATTATTTTTAATTCAATTTTGGATACATATATTTTTAAACTTAAAAATCACAGAATAGTAAGAAAAAGTATTAAAATTCTTGTACATAATTTCGTTCTCGTTAAGTCAGAATACTTATTAAAAGTGTATGTACAAAGTAAAATTAAAGTAATAAAAATGCTTCTATTATTTCTCTGATATAACTTTTCCAGTAGTTCAGTTAGAATACACGCATATTATATTAAACTGTCAGTGAATTTTGTACAAAAATGTTTATTTCTGCCAAAGTACTCACATTGGTAGTTATTACAAGCTGTGACAATGGTTTCAAAATAAAGTTTTTTTTCCAAATACTAAATATATATCTTTATAAAATCATATACGCATCATCAACATTCAGTCTTTAAGAGAAAAAAAAATGCAGTTCACTTGAAGATTTTTAATTATATCTTTCTTTTAAACATTGAGTGCATCAGCATAGGAACGAGTGATATCCTATAATACGTTTTGATAAAATTTCCTTTTAAAAAAATCTTATTTACGAATGGTTTTACGTATACAACAAATTCATTATATATTTTTTTTCATCTGTAAACATAATAATATGCATTATCTGCTATTTTTCATTTTTTCACGGAGGCGTTTTCAGTACTATATACTTACACGATCAGAGTCTTTTTTTAAGCAATAGCTGATTAAAATTGAGATTCAAACATCTGATGATCGGATTACGAATCAATTGCTCTTTTTTTAGATATAAAAACATTCAAATAAAAGTCAGTTAAAAATAAGTCAATACCAGTAAGAATATTATAAGTATCAATTACAGTGCACATAATATTGAATCGACAGATGTACGTCATCGATGACTCGGCATCGGAAGTTTCAGATCTTATTTTCGCAAAGTTTTTGCAGAGCAGAGAGAAGAAAGGAAGTCATCGGAATCAGATGACACTCTAAAGTTACATAGCAAAACGATGTACGTCTCGACTTCTTACACCTACAGGTAGGTCAAAAAACACCAGAATCATACTCAGACATCGAAATACCACTGGCTCAATATTCCGAGCGTACTCTATGACTTAGACACAGCGTGCAGTTGAAGCCTGGGTGACATAAAATTGGCAGATACCCCCAAAGTGCTAGGTTTTACGGAGCAAATTGTTAATAAAAAAGGGGGGGTTGCCAAGAAAAGAGAAGTTATTTTCAGAAATAAGTGAAAAACAAAAATAAACTTTTTCCAAGGCAAAGGCTCCAAAAGTCGAAGCAAACAGAACCCTTAAAAAATCTCAGTCTTAGGTACGATTTGTCTGGATAAAAGATTTAGAGACTATATCATCAATAACTTGATCGAGCTGCAGGAAAAAATATCAATCTTGGCAGCATGAAATTCCTTCTCTGCACCATCTGTGAAGAAGTATCTTATTGTGATGCCCAAAGGAAAGCCCGAATTTCGTATGATTTTCAAATGTCTTTAGTAATTGATAAAAAAAATTATACAGTTTCTAAAAAATTAATCCGCTGATGAAAAAGGAGTTTTAGATGTCACAACTACAGAGAGACATATATTATGTTTTGTGCTCCCGCGCAAACTGGATATCTGAACTGGGAAAAACAGTCGATGGGCCGACCATCCCAATTCTGTCGGAACGAGTGGCAACAGAGATAAGTAAGTGCGCCAAGTCTTGAAAAACATTTAGTGTATAATATCTACGCCTCAAACAAGCTTTCGCACTCGCCTTCACGAATAAGCAACCAATAGCATGACAAATATAGTTTTTTAATTTTGCGTTCTCTGTTAGCATCTAGACATTCTAAACTGAGTTCCGAAAAGTTAAGCTCAAATGAGTCATAATGTATGTTACGTAATGATTAAGTTACCAATAAGGGACGAGCTTGACTTTTGGAACATATACATAGGCTGCTGAACTAGACATCATCGTCGAGACAGTACCATACCAATGGACAAGGAAATAGATTTTTCGCTTCAACTTTTGTTGCACTTCTCTTTAAATTTGTGATTTAATATGTGATAATTGGTTCACAGCCATGTCTGTGATCAACTGTACTATCAACTGTACTTCTGAAAGAACCGATTACCGTTTGTCGTGTAAAATTGGGTGAGCGAGCAAGGTTTTTTGCTGCAATATTCGTGTAAAAACGCTACTAAATTAAACTCTTTGTATTTCAAACAGTTTTACGTCTGTATCGTACCAGATGGGGGGTTCTATGTTTCGTAAATAAATAACACCCCACATGTAAGTTCTGAACCAAGCAGTCGTACCAGCGTTTGCTTGGTATCTGCGAATGAGAATCGGATGCGGCACGGGCAATAGACCCACAAGCGTGCCATGTTGTAAAAACTTTAGTATTTCACTTTCATCGGTCAATCCCCTGAAAATTCAATTAAATATTTTTTTTTTTCAAAAATATTCAATGTACCGTTTTTTTCTTGTTTTTTAACTCACTTGTCAATGCAGATTTTTTCTACTTGAGGCACCAGAACTTGCAATAGTCGCATTATAGTTTGTAAAGGTAGTTTACTTTTCCATTGGTAAACCCACTCTGCTGTGGGTACCCACTGGTTAACGCTATTTATTGAATTTTCTTGATCAGAAACGCGAATTCCCCCTTTCTGTTGAAAGGGAGTAAAAGGTATGTAACGTCATTGCTCCACAAGAGTGAATGAAGTAATTGCTTTTTATTTATTTACTTACTTGTATGATTGATTCTTTGTTTTCGCTCTGCTCTTTAGAATCCTCAATTTTGTTGACTTCTACATCGGGAGGACTGAGAGGATGGGCAGATTCTTTTTCGGTCATGTTTTCTATACCCGGAGTTTCCAGTAGTGATGTCTTGAGAGTACCAGGCTCTGCGGGTTGTGCAGGATGCGAGCCCTCCATCGCCGTTTCATTTACATTTTCTGTGGATCTACTAGAAGGTATGTGCTTCCTTTGCCTTTTGCTCAGCGATTTTGCTATTGTGTTGCAATCACTTGGTAAATTGGCCAAAGCATGGAAAACTTGTCTTTTTCGGATTATTGTGTAAACTAAATTGCTATTGCCATCAAATTGATACTGAAATTCAATGGGTACAATTTATTATGTAACAAATTAACAAAGAGTACGTGTTTTTTTTTTTTTTTTTTCTAACACTAACTTGAATGATATTGTTGAATATTTCAAGTAAGAAAAACACCAAATGATGATTCGTTGAAGCAGAAAATAAGAACCATGGGGTACTGAAAGCTTCTAACAAGTGGAGAAGCTTTGTACTGGCGACCATAGACAACGTTTTCAAATAAGGTGATACGTTGACTAGTATGGTGAGCAAACAGTCAAAGAGTGGTTGCAGCCTTTGATGGCCTGTAGTGATAATTTTGTGAAATACTGTAACCAAAAGGTCAGCGTGTGTTCCTATAAAAAAAAAAAGATTAAAAAATATACGTTATGATCTTTTTGAGCGTATTGAATGAATCGGATGAAATTTACCTGTAAAAACTGGAATGTCCATTGGTACTGTTGCAGTATAAGGCTTATTTAATCTCACGCCAAAATTTCGTTCTCCGCTGAGCAAAAGGAGAATAAATACCCCGATATGCATTAAACCTACTCTTGCTGTTGTAAGAAAAACATCAATTGTAGTAAAAGACATTGTGATATGTATATATGTTTTCAATGTAATGTTAAAATTTAAATGTCTTACATTGATCTGCTCTGGAGTCGTTTAAATGATACAATATAGGTACTAGGACCTCAAGTACATCTGAACTTTTTAATACATAGTATAAAAATTTTTTATTGTAATCGCACATTTTCCAAAAAAATACTAGCAATTCTTGATGAAAATGCACTTTCTTTGTCGAGTTTGGTAAGTATGTTTGCATCAAGGGATTGTTCAATAACCTTGTAATGCCCTTAAGTACAAACTGAAAATCTTTGAAAAGGTGCGATAAATATCAATTCTTATACATTTATTTAAAAATGAGTTTGCTCATACCTTCATCTCTGTGTATACGACTAAGATAATTGATAAAAAGATTATCTCCTACGGTAGTTTCATCTATGACCGTACCACAGCTTGTGTCATGATCTAAAGTTACAATGAGAATCTGTAAAGACACATCAACCAAAGGCTCCAGAGAATCAGTAAACAGTAAATGATTGTAAGGGACCCCATAACCGACTGGATCATAAGCGCACACTGTATTTAATAGCGAAGTAAACATTGGCAAAGCATGTCTATGAGAATATGATATTTATAAATACTGGTTATTTGTAAAAAATATAAATTAAAATTATACTTTAAAGGCATACCTGTTTTCTGAGCTGGTTAAATATTGAATCCATTTGTTAGGAGCTACTGAAAGATCAGTTGGAGGATTATACATTGTTTCGCTGAAGCATGTCAACAGTAATTTCAACAGTTCTGTCCTGTGGGCATCCAATATCGGATTTCTTGGCTGTGATTGTGCAAAACCTACACCAGCTTCCCAAATGTATTCACAACTGTCGATAGTCTGTAATTCTTCTGCCTTGTCCTACGAAAATATATTGTATCAAACAAAAGCAACAATAAATTTCTCATTCAATATATTATATGTAATATAGATGACGTTATCTACTTACTGGACCAGACTTTCTATTTCCGTGAACTGTAAAATCCGGACAAAATAACAAGTCCTACAAACAAATCGAGAGAAATAATAGAAAAAAAATTTGACAAAAAATAAATTACATTCAGTAATATTTATACATACACAGATGGCATTCAATAAAGAATGTGCTAGAGGCACACTCTCCTCATCTTCTTTTCCCGGCAAGCTTGACCAAAAGAAGCCCTTCCAATCAGAATCTTCAAAAATATAAGGCAACAGTCTCGTTAACAATCTGCAACAGTTCAAAACTGTCTGTTGTTCGCTGTTGGTCCTGCAACTGCTGTCTACAGCTTTGACCAACTTTTCTACTGCTTTATAGCACAAGGTAGCTAAATTGGAAGGTGCCTCTTCTCTGAGAATGCGAATTTCCGATGCTGGCATTAGGGTAAAGACATCTTGAACATTACAGCCGTTTTCCGACCAAAATTGATCCCAAAACGTATCGTCCGCCGCGTCTATCACCTGTAATAATCATACATCCAATAAGTAAATGACATATTAAATCGGACAACGGCGCAATATTAATCCTAAGTTATAAGTCAAAAGTCAAGAACAAACGATAAAACTGTAGTCTAAATGTAAGTCAAATCAGATTGCTGTTCCAGGATAAACTATAAGTGAAACGAAGACTCAGTTTGTATACTGACTTGCGTCTTGGACGTTAGCTGGACGACGGCCTTACGAAAGTTGAGCTTTGTGTCCGTGTTGCCCATCTTCACTCGCTGTACTTAAGGAAGCTATACAACTTTTTACAAATTCACTCAGGCTACCTGATCCTTAAGTAATTTATCAGTGATTCAATGCATTTCTGTTGATTAAAAAATAAACGGAGAAATCAGTTGCAATCCACGAAGAACCAGCTGTTATTTTTTGGATGGAATGAACACATGAAACTGCGAGTAAATTAATTTATTACCCCTGTCCCCTGTCCACTGTCATACGGATGACATATATACGTATATACATATAAATATAGTGATATCGAAGTACGGACAGTTGTCAAATTGTCACTGGTGTCAGTAGTGTGTCACACTGTGTGTGTGTGTCAGTACCCATAATAAGGGCCTATTCACGATGACAAGAAGCAATGACAAAGAGAGTAGCAGACGATGAAATATAGTTCATAAAAAATGTTTAAAGATAGTTTTAAATATTACAAGGCACGTCAACCCGCTCCTGATCTAAAAGACGTGATTGATGTACATAATTCTGACAATAAAAACGTGAGTTGCTCGAAAATTTTTATTTCCTATGTGACTAAAAAAAAACTTTATGAAAATGTGTACTTTTTGTAGGTTAGAAAAATCACAGTATTTGCAGCTGATTGTCAAAATGATTTATCGTTGTATTTGGGATTAAAACCTGTTGAAGGATGGAGTGCGTTTGACTTCATAAACATACCAGGACTTTTATTCATAAAAAATCCTTTTACGCCAAGTGGACAAAGAAATTGGATTGTAAAATGTTTAAAAAATTACACGAAAAAACCGAATATTTTAAACATCGATGCACATGGATTTTTGAACGACGACAAGACTTGGTGGGACGAGAGTTTTGGGTAAAGGAATTGAAATTATTCTTGAACAATATACATTTTTTAACAATATTAATCAGATTATTGATGTCGTGTTAAAGAGCAGCATCAAAAACAGACTTGTTAGCAAAATTACGATGGGCTACCCTTGGTTACCACCATAATTGGGACACAAAACATTATGCGGAAAATTTTAAAACAGAAATACCTCAAGATCTGAAAGATTTGACCAGTGTGTTTGCAACTGCCCTAGGCTTCAACAAATTCAATGCAGAAGCTGCAATAATAAATTATTACAGAATGAATTCAACTCTAGCTGGTCACACGGACCATTCTGAGATTTATCTCGAAGCACCGTTGTTTTCCGTAAGCTTCGGTCAAACAGCCGTTTTTCTCATAGGAGGCTTAAAATTAGAAGACCCAGCTCATGCCCTCTTATTGAGAAGTGGCGATGTCGTTGTCATGTCGGGAAATTCTAGATTAAGATATCATGGCGTTCCAAGAATTCTATACGGCGATTCTGCTCCGTGGGAGTCGAATGATCAATCCCTTGGAGAATGCAACGATTGGAAACGCGCAAAAAGTTACATTTCCGAAGCTAGAATCAACTTAAATATAAGGCAGGTTCTGAAACCTGGCCAATCGGCTTTGTGATTATAAGTGTAAATACATATTTTATTTGAATAAAAATGTAATATAAAAAAAATTTACTTTTTATGTTTTACTTGCCATAAGTAAACAATTTTTGTAAAATAAATTTTTAAATGCCTTCATTCCTATTACACGGAGACACGTCAAATGCAAACGGTGGTTTAAACTATATTTAACGCCGTCTCATGAAAATTACCTTTTAAGTTTGTTTTGATATTACACGTGGTAAGTGTTGTCACGTCGTCTGTCTGTTGACCTGCGTTTTTATTTAAAAACAAGTTTACAATATCCATGCTTTGTATATAGAATAGTAATTTATACATGGATGATTGATACTTAAGACAAAATGACGGGAATTACAGACAAAGATGTCCCTAAAGAGCCAACTAAATTACTCACCTGGAAAGATTTGGTAATTTGTCTATAAACTATTATTCATTTTAATTTAATTAATTATCGTTAAACAAATTATTTCGAATCAAGGGTCTAGCAGACGTGCTGTGTCGCGCATGTGAAAATTTTGGGTGGAAAGCTCCTACAAAAATTCAAAGTGAAGCCATTCCACTGGCCCTCAAAGGTATTGCATGTCCATGTTTTCTTTTCATATACCTACTTGACTTCGTTTTAAAATTTGAGCTTATACATTAAAATAACGTAACATCCATACAATGTTTTAGGAAAGGATATCATAGGATTAGCTGAAACTGGTTCTGGAAAAACTGCAGCCTTTGCACTTCCAATTCTGCATGCTTTGCTGAAAAATCCACAAAAGTTTTTTGCACTCATTTTGACTCCTACACGAGAATTAGCTATGCAAATACACGATCAGTTTGAAAAACTTGGTAAGAATTTATTATTGGCCAAATTTTACAACTTAAGGAGAAAAATTATTAATGAGCTTTCATTTAAGGTGCCAATGTTGGATTGCAATGTGCACTCTTGATGGGAGGTGATGATATGATAAAGCAAACAGCACAATTGGCTAAAAAACCACACGTTATTATCGCAACTACAGGAAGAATGCTCGACCATTTGAACAATACCAAGGGATTTAGTTTAAAATCACTTAAATATTTGGTAATGTTTGATTCAGAGATTTGTTATTGGAGTTGAAAATTTATACTGATAAAATTAATTTTAATTGAAGGTAATGGATGAAGCGGATAAAATGCTGAGTTTCCAATTTGAAGAAGAAGTGAATGAAATTTTAGAAAGAATACCAAAAGAACGAAGAACGTTTTTATTTTCTGCCACTATGACTAACAAAGTAGAAAATTTACAGCGTGCATCTTTGAAAAATCCAGTTAAAGTATCAATATGCACAAAGTATCAAACAGTGGATACATTAAATCAATATTACATTTTTATTCCTGCCAGATTAAAGGTACTGTAATTAATTCTTGAGAATCTTTGATAAATTTTATGTTTAAAGTATATTTACAACTGTCCATAGGATGTGTATCTAACTTATATATTGCAACAATTATCTGGAAATAATATCATTGTATTTTGTAATACATGCGATGAAACAATGAGAGTCGCACTACTTATGAACAATTTAGGATTTATGACAGTAGCTTTGTATGGAAAAATGTCACAAAATAAAAGAACTGCAGCACTCGCGAAATTCAAAGAAAGAGCCAGTTCTATTCTTGTTTCAACAGATGTTGCCAGCAGGTGCGTATAAAAAGTTATTTGGTTTTTTTCCATCGAATAATAAATTTGTCTGCTAAATTAAATATTGCTTTTGAAGAGGTATAGATATAGAACACGTTGATGTTGTTGTTAATTATGACATGCCGATTGACAGCAAAAATTACATACACAGAGTCGGTCGAACCGCGCGTGCAGGACGATCCGGCAATGCTATTTCTTTTTTGACTCAATACAATGCTGCGATGTGCGGAGCGATAGAAACTCTGATTGAAAAAAAACTTGTTAAATATGAAACCAAAGAAGAAGATGTATTACTTCTCCAACAAAGAGTCGTAGAAACTCAACACACTATGCAAAATGTAAGTAGTACACTGCAGGGGCCGTACCATATAACTTTTTTTTGCTTCACAGGCCTATGTTATAACATAGGCCGATGTACAGAAAAATAGTTATATGGTACGGACCCAGTGTAGTACTTGTGAATTTTTTTTTCTACAAATTTATGTATGTGTATACATTGTGTTAATTTTAATTGTAGGAATTAAAAGAAATAAAAGAGGAAGAGCAATCGAATAAGAGGAAAATAAATTCAGACAGTGAGCGGGATGATGTTGAAGTGTTAGGAGGTATCAAAAATCATGTAAAGCGAAGAAAAAAGGGAAAAAAGAAAAATAAATGATTTCATGTTATTACTCGTGATTTATTTTTTATTTTAATAAATATCCATTTTCTCAATTACCGTTTGTATTTGTACATTGATATGGATTTGTCTATAAGTTTAGAACCTGAACTTGTTGTGTGAAAACGAGCCTTGAGCGTTAAAGAGATCGACAGAGATGAAAATTGGTGTTTTCTCTCTTTTTCTGGGGGGGGGGGGCAATATACACTCCCGATCGGAAATTGACTCTACGGCAAGTATATGGGCCTTACATTTTGCCGGAAAGCAAGTATACGGACCTCTTCCGCCGTCTTGAAGGTGCCTTAATGAGGTGTTTTCCGGTAACTTTCTGGGCAGTTTCCATTTGCCGGAAGCACTATGGACCGTATACGAACCATACAGTACCCGTAAATGGCCCGGAAGCATGAAAAAATATGCTAGTCAAAAGATTAGTTCCAACAAATTAGCACACCAGACCCTCAAAAGCGCTCAAAGTAGGAAAATAATGTAGTAAGGGATGACTTAATGGAAAATAAATACACTAATTAAAAAAAATAATAGATTAATTTAAAAAATAAATATTTATTCGCTTCAATATCACTTATCTTATCATTCCATTTATCATTATCACTCAGAACATTTTCGGAAGTTTCATTGTTCAAACTTACATCATCACGCGTGTTTTTATCTACATGAACATTTACATTCAAATTCAATTCACATTGCTGTTTAAGGTTCCTGGTAACACGACCCATACGGCCCGTGAAGATTCTTTCCGGTAAACATAAACGGGCCGTATACTACCTTCCGGCGTACGAAATCTTTTTCCGATCAGGCTATAGAGTAGCAGAAAGAACCTCTCTCTGTCACTCATTCGGTATAGAAACACTTCATTCAGTGGCACGTGGTGGCTTAGAACCACTGGTGGCGGTGTAAAGTATCTTATCAATCAAATTATTTTGTATGTCCACACGGATCAAATCGTTTTATTCCATCGATTTTGTTTGAGATTATTTAAGATATAAAAAATACGCTGTGTCTATTCGCACCAAATCCACGTAATTACGTGGATATAACGTTAGGAATTTTAAAGAAAAACGCTACTTTTTCAAATGAAGTATGTCCACCTAAAGTGAAGTTCGCACACGTGCTCTCGCCTGCGGCAGAAAACCGAAGACGTGACCGTAACAGTACCGCCACCCGAACTGACGCTCTGCGGCCAGAGTTAATGCGCGCTAAGCGGCAAATTCAAATGTGCTAAAACCAACTAACTAAATCCCAAGCTTTTTAACCTAATAACTCAGTACCCAAAACCTCTTAAACCAAATAACCCTATACTTCAGATAAATAAAACCTAACAATATTTTAAATACACGCTCAACTTATAACTGTATACATAAATTATACTCATCAGATTGCAAAATCTTTAAAATAAAGATCCAAACGAATTGCAACACATAAATATAATGAGAAAAAACTACTAAATAACCCAGGGAGCTTGATATCCAATTTATTTAATGATAAAAATATAACATAAAACTACAGCGCATTTCCCCATATGACCCAAGGCACTTACTAGCCAGTTTATTAACTGTTAGAATAAGTTTGTATAAAGCGCCATCTCTGCTAGTATATATGTACTATGCATACGCGAGCCCCGATGCTGCGCATCAGGCCAGTTCAGTTGATCGCTAGTCCCTAACCAGTAAAGACTTAATTTGTAACAACAGCTTGTAAAGACGGTATTACGACAGTTTATTTTAAATAATAATAATTCTGATTTCTCTACAAAGTGTTTAGTGCTTTTCCCTTCTTGTTATCCTTCCTGGCTTTTTCCCGAATCCTGAGAGCCTCTCGCAGTGGATTTAAAAGTCAATAGGTTATGGGCCCAGCACGCTTCCACTGCGCGGGGCTTTTTTTGTGATGTAAGGGACTTGCGCCGGGATTGACGCGGTTTTATTTTTCATCTAGCAACTGCTAAAAGAGTGAAAGTGGAGAAAGCAGCGTGCCAGTAAATGAGATCGGGGTCGAGGCAGAGGTGCCAGTGAATGAGATCGGGGTCGAGGCAGAGGTGCCAGTGAATGACGGTGAGACGTCGGCCAACGACAGCGAGGTGGCCTCACCTGGGTTAGAAAGTGCGGCGGAAGGCGTGGAGGAGGCACGAGCAGTGTCACCGCTCGAAGAGGCGACAAGGATGCAAGGACAGGAGGAAAGAGGCAGGACTATGAAGGACGCAGCATGCCAAGGTAATAGTGAGTCCTGAGTTGTAATTGTGTTAAGGGGCAGTCATTTTTCGTAATTGAAATTCGTAGCCTTCTTTGGCTGGGCATAGCCCCGGAAGAGGAGGTGAGCGAGCGCACGGACGGATGGGGAGCGCTGTCCGTGGTTGCTGTTGCGGACGGCCGAGGCGCCGGGTTGAGACCGGGGACGCCTAGCCACACCTGTGTGCCAGAACGCCGTCACCGCGTTGCAATCATGGCGGTCGGCTCGTTTCTTTCCTTTTTGTAGTCTCGTGGTGCGCGCGCATGTGTTGTGTTCACATATGTGTGTGCATGTACGAGCAGCTCATGCGCCATCTTTTCTTCCGTTAATTATATCCCGACGTGCCGAACTGTATGTGTTCTACGGTTTACGTATGCGCGGGAAAGGGGCGGCCCAACCTGCCTGCTCTTCGCGCGCAAAGTGGTCACGTGCGCTGTGTGCGTGAACAACTGTGTCTCGTTGTTTGCGCACGCTTTTACATTTCCATTTGTATCTCTTCTTGGAACTAAACAGTTAAACTTACGTAATGACGGCTTTATTTTAGATGAAGATGTGATCGACGCGTATATGCGACTTTTCCAACTCGGTGTGGATATTTGCGGAGAAGATCTCGTAAGAGATTTATCTGTGAGATTAGAAGACGGATTAATTCTATTTGCAAATAAGAAAGAATCAATCGCAGCCATCTCAAAGGGTAATTTTAAGCCCTCAGAGTTTGACAAAATATCACGGACAATTAGAAACTCTGGCGGCGTTATATCCCTGTCTGCAAAAAGGACTGAAAATTCGCAAGTCCCAAAATTTTTGGACGCGCTTGATTTCTCGCCCGGGTATTCAAAGAAAGCACTGTTTAAAACGACGGAAATACAAAAGACTGAACTTCTGACTGATAAAAGGACGGACGATGAGAATTTTGACNGGAGCTGCTGGGGGAACTGCGCCTGCAACAGCGCTACGAGTGCACCAGCCCAACTCAACCCACGATAATGACCGGTGTTATCGGTGCGATGACTACGGGCACCACTCTTATAACTGCCCGGTCGACGCAGGAATGAGAAAGTACTACTCCTGCAGAAGGCTTCAACGGAACCTCATGGAGCACAAGAAAAATTTCAAGGGTGCCAAATCAGGTGAGAAAAAAAATTTTAATTGGGATTTCAAAAGACGGGAAAACAAAGACGGACAAGGATCTAAAAATTCAATGAATAAAAGGGGGAAAAGGGAGCATGACAGTGAAAATAACAACCAAAACAAAAGACAGAAAAGGGACAGTGATAAAACTAGTAAAAATGAAAGTAAAACAAAAAGACAATGTGGAAACACAAATGACAAGAAAGGTAAGACTGTTTTTAAGCAAAGCGACATTGCCTCTTCNCTAAATCGAGCACTGCATGACAGAACGACTGATCTTGATCGGAGTGAAAGGTTCCAACTCGAACTGTTGAACAAGGACTCACCGTCCCGTTATGATCATAAATTAACTCCTAAAACAAAGATAGAATTGTTTCTCGATAAATTATTTTCAAAATTAAAAATTAAAAAACTACTGTACGTCTTGGATGATACCGTTGAGTTTCCCACATTTCTGTCTGCAAAAGAATTAGATGATCACAAAGAAAGAGTACGACATGTTATAATCAATCACATTGATGACTTTTACCATCTAAAGACTGCCCATTATTCCGATCCCAAAAAACTGCTAAATAAATTAAAAGAAATCAAAAGAAACGAGTCAAACCTATCGTCAAATGAAATCAGACGAAAGCTGTATACTTTTCGGTATCTCCCCAATAAAATGATAGGGTCCGATTTCGTTGATAAGTTTGAAGAGCTTCTCAGAAGCTACGAAAATCTACAGGGAAGACAACCCTTGTCTGAAGAAGAAATACGTGACGCGTTCTATAATGCCGTCGTTAATAACGTATCGCAGATTGAAACCCTCGACGCTGTGATTGAAGATGCGCAAGGGAAAAGGATGACTTATGACCGATTGAAATCTTTCTTTTTAAAGACAGAGTCGAGACGACAGAGGACCGGAGCTGCTGGGGGAACTGCGCCTGCAACAGCGCTACGGGTGCACCAGCCCAACTCAACCCACGATAATGACCGGTGTTATCGGTGCGATGACTACGGGCACCACTCTTATAACTGCCCGGTCGACGCAGGAATGAGAAAGTGCTACTCCTGCGGAAGGCTTCAACGGAACCTCATGGAGCATAAGAAAAATTGCAGGGGTGCCAAATCAGGTGAGAAGAAAAATTTNCCATTAAACTGAAGGGAGTGTTAGAATAAGAGTTTGTATAAAGCGCCATCTCTGCTAGTATATATGTACTATGCATACGCGAGCCCCGATGCTGCGCATCAGGCCAGTTCAGTTGATCGCTAGTCCCTAGCCAGTAAAGACTTAATTTGTAACAACAGCTTGTAAAGACGGTATTACGACAGTTTATTTTAAATAATAATAATTCTGATTTCTCTACAAAGTGTTTAGTGCTTTTCCCTTCTTGTTATCCTTCCTGACTTTTTCCCGAATCCTGAGAGCCTCGCGCAGTGGATTTAAAAGTCAATATTAACAAATTAAAAATAAATTAACAGCCCAAGCGCCTACCACCAGATAACCCGGGGCTGGTTAATAAAATGAAAAATGCTACAATAGTACGGCATTTAATGTGTAGCAAAGTAATTACTTGGCACTTAATAGTATCTTAATTGTATGATACAAAAAAAACCAACAAATAACTAGTGGTATGTATAAGTAACCTAACGTACTAATTGGCCAACTACTGCAATAATAATAATTATAAAATATTATAAAGGCATACTCCGATGTGACTTAGAACATTTAAGAGCAATTTTGAGTTAACAAAAAATAGAACGGAACTTATGCTAATCCGGAAACTAAGGACGTTATACAGCTTGTTGATTTTTAAGCAATTTATTCATACCATTAGAGCCAGAAATTTGATTCTTTTCGTTTCTTAACAAGCACTTGTGTCGATAATTATTAATCAGACGATTTGTAAACTAAAAAGCAAGTATTTGAAGTTATCTGGGGATATAGGCACTCAGTTTATGATAAGCCAAATTGGCCAGTAAAAGCTACCCAGGTGATCTGGTGATCGGCACTTGGGCTGTTAATTTATATTTAATTAGTTAATAAATTGGCCAGTAAGCGCCCTGAGTCACCTGGTGATAAGCGCTTAGCTTATTTTAAACAAAAGGGCCAGTAAGCGCCCCGGGTTATCTGGTGATAGCCACTTGTGCTCTTCATTTATATTTAATTTGTTAAAAAACTGGCCAGTAAGCGCCCAAGGTTATCTGGTGATAGGCGCTTGGGCTCTTAATTTATATTTAATTTGTTAATAAACTGGCCAGTAAGCGCCTTGAGTCACCTGGTGAGAGGCGCTTAGCTATATTTTAAACAAAAGGGCCAGTAAGCGCCCTGGGTCATCTGGTGGTAGGCGCTTGGGCTGTTAATTTATTTTTAATTTGTTAATAAACAGGCCAGTAAGCGCCCAAGGTTATCTGGTGGTAGGCGCTTGGGCTCTTAATTTATATTTAATTTGTTAAAAAACTGGCCAGTAAGCGCCCTGAGTCACCTGGTGATAGGCGCTCAGTTTATTATTAAACAAAAGGGCCAGTAAGCGCCCCGGGTCATCTGGTGATAGGCGCTTGGGCTGTGAATTTATTTTTAATTTGTTAATAAACTGGCTAGTAAGTGCCTTGGGTCATATGAGGAAATGCGCTGTAGTTATATGTTATATTTTTATCATTAAATAAATTGGATATCAAGCTCCCTGGGTTATTTAGTAGTTTTTTCTCATTATATTTATGTGCTGCAAGTCGTTTGGATCTTTATTTTAAAGATTTTGCAATCTGATGAGTATAATTTATGTATACAGTTATAAGTTGAGCGTGTATTTAAAATATTGTTAGGTTTTATTTATCTGAAGTATAGGGTTATTTGGTTTAAGAGGTTTTGGGTACTGAGTTATTAGGTTAAAAAGCTTGGGATTTAGTTAGTTGGTTTTAGCACATTTGAATTTGCCGCTTAGCGCGCATTAACTCTGGCCGCAGAGCGTCAGTTCGGGTGGCGGTACTGTTACGGTCACGTCTTCGGTTTTCTGCCGCAGGCGAGAGCACGTGTGCGAACTTCACTTTAGGTGGACATACTTCATTTGAAAAAGTAGCGTTTTTCTTTAAAATTCCTAACGTTATATCCACGTAATTACGTGGATTTGGTGCGAATAGACACAGCGTAAAAAATATTACTCACAATGGTGGAAACTTCAACTGTAAGTGATAAACTAAAAGATCCCGAAGAAGTAACATGGGAAGATCTGGTCAGTAATTTAATCTAACCTACGCATTCTAAATACTGTTTATTTTATTAATGTCAGCAAATTGGTCTTGTAGGGACTCGTTGATACTCTGTGTGAAGTTTGTAGGAGTTTAAAATGGGCCAAGCCAACAAAAATTCAAAGAGAAGCTATTCCACCGGCGTTACAAGGTAAGTTTTTGACTTGCATTTTTCAAATGTCAGTAAATTATATCACAATAGGTATTTTTTATTTTGATTTCAACTTCAGGAAAAGATATCATAGGATTAGCTGAAACTGGTTCAGGCAAGACTGCTGCCTTTGCTTTACCAATTTTACAAGGTCTGTTAGAAAATCCACAAAAATTTTATGCGCTCATCATCTCACCAACCCGAGAATTGGCTATGCAAATACACGATCAATTTGAAGCTCTTGGTATTTAAAATTTAGTCTTCATTGATTGAAAAATCAAAATTATAAATTGACAATCACTAATGAAAATAATATTCCAATTGTGAAAATTTTGTAGGTGGTAGCATGGGAGTTAGATGTGTAAAAATTTTTGGAGGAATGGATATGATTAATCAAGCTTTAATGCTGGCCAAAAAGCCTCACATCATCGTTACTACTCCCGGTAGATTAGTTGACCATTTGAAAAACACGAAAGGGTTCAATTTGCGAACTTTGAAATATTTGGTAGATCTTGACGTTCTACAATTATATTTGAATTTTAAAATAACTGTGTGGAAATATTTCAAAAATTGTATGTTTTAGGTATTAGATGAAGCCGATAGAATTTTGGGTGCCGATTTTGAGAGAGAACTGAATGAAATCTTGAAAGTAATACCTCGAGACAGGAAAACTTCTTTATTCTCTGCTACTATGACAAAAAAAGTAAAAAAATTACAACGCGCATCGCTGCGTAACCCAGTAAAAGTCGAAGTTTCTTCCAAATATCAGACAGTGGCTAATTTGAAACAACATTACATATTTTGTCCAGCAAAATTTAAGGTAAAAACTAATCAAAGATGTTGAATTAACATCAGTACCATTTAATAGTGCAAGATTCATATTTTTCTTGGCAGGACATTTATTTAATTTACATTCTGAGCCAAATGTCTGGAGACAGTTTTATGATATTTTGCGATAGGTGTGATCAAACTTCAAAGACTGCCATTCTTTTGCAAATGCTGGGATTCAAAGCAATACCGCTTCATGGCCAAATGACACAAAATAAGAGGATTGCTGCTCTTGCTAAATTTAAAGCAAAGGAAAAAAATATATTAGTTTCTACAGATGTTGCAAGCAGGTAGCTACAATTAAATGGGTCAACATTTAAACCATTATAACTTGGAACCATTACAAAACTATTACTTAATTTTCAGAGGCCTTGATATTCCACACGTTGATGTGGTGATTAATTTTGAAATGCCAACCAACAGCAAAGATTATATTCATAGAGTAGGTCGCACGGCAAGAGCTGGGCGTTCGGGTGTTGCCATTACATTTGTAAATCAGTATGACATCGAGTTGTATCAAAGAATTGAAGAATTACTCGGGAAAAAACTCGACGAATATCCGACAGAAGAAGATGAAGTAATGACGCTTCAAGAACGTGTTGCAGAGGCTCAGCGTGAAGTCAAAAAGGTAAAAACATTTAAATTTATTTGGCAAAAATGACTTTTTTGTATTACGAGGTCCATACTTAATATGACCCAAATTTCGTGTAAAAATTTTAGAAATTGAAAGAAATAGAAGACAAGAAGATGAGCAAACGGACGAAACGTGGACAAGACGAGGATGACGAAGAAGATGACACAGAACAGTCAAGCGGTGTCAGAAAGCGTTTCAAAGGAAAAAGCATGAGAGGAAAAAGGCGTTGAATAATATCCAAATTCAACGTCAATTTATAGTTATAATTATAATTATAAAACTCGTCTTTTTGACATTTTGCTGGGCAAAAATTTATTTATTAAATTTTTGAAGCAGCAAAATAGAAGTTAGTTAAGGTTAGTAGGTGTGTAACTTCCATTTACACACTTTGTATCCAATAATAATGTATAAAAAGAATTGCACTCTTGTACATTGAAACTGCGGTAATGTCTACACTGATCAACTTTTTATAAATTTATTGAAATTTTTTTTCATTCATGAACTATTAAAAAAAATGGCGCTACTTGTTTTTTAAGAATTATTTTTTGGATATCAACCACGATAGTACTTATAGCGGTACAAGCAATAAAACGGTTTCTAAAAATTTAAAATAGTTATTTCCTTCGATATAGTACCTATCAAATCCAATTTTTTCATACATCTAGTATGAATCTTTTTCTCCTACAAGTTTATTTTACATACTTTGAGAGATGTGACACTGCTGTCGTCAAATGCTAGACAACAGTGAACATTAAACTGTTGTACATAAATAATGAGATCTTAGAATACCTTTCATTGGAAAGCCGGATTTTTTTTTCAATACTTACTATTCGAAACATCACGTATAGGGAACACAGATATTTACAGTCCACCCACTTCATAATAAAAGCTTTTTTTATGTATTATGTATGTCTTAGATGTAGCATTGTTACTGTCAAAAAAAAGTGAAAAAGCTTGCATTATTTTCGATATTGTTACCAACATTTATAATTAAGTATACACGTGCGCGTTAAGAGTATTTTATACAGAAACTGGTAGAGGAATCATTATTTCCAATAAATTTTTCAGGTCTTTAATAGTGTAGGTACTGAATCAATTTAATGACAGAGGGAAATATATACTGGATGGAATACCTTTTTTTTTTAGTTGACGGGTTGAAACGTAGATAAATAAATGATCAAAATGAAACAATTGAGGTTTCATTCAAATGAGAAATAAAATATATTCCATAATATTATTATTCACTATTTCTACACATTCTGTACAGTAATTCATCTTAAGGATTTACCTCAATATACTTTATACAAAAAGGCTACTTATAATCTAACATTAAGACATACCATAGCACGTGCGCCCTCCCCCTTACCACATCGTGGTAGGTAGGCTGCGCACATGTTTGTACTGGTATTACAGAGTCAGTCGCCAACAAGGATAACTTCTTCCTCTTGTTTATCACACACCACACACTGTAAAATCGCTAAAGTGTGTCTTCGGTGTCTCTCATATTATCATTTATAAATACAATTTGCTGTCCCCCATAAAAACGCATCTTAGATAACTTCATAATTTTTTCGGTCGTTCATTCTCCAAAAATTTTTTTTGCCATTTTTTTTTCTTTTGTAAAAGAGCATCCCAACGAATCAGCACATTACAGAGCTACAATGGAGTAAAGTGTTTTTGTTTGACCTGAATGTCCGTTATGCACCAGAGTTTCCATATTCATAACTTGTTTTCCAATAAATAATAGTACAATTAGCGAAAATAGAGAACTGTAAAAAATAATATCTATCAAATTTTCAATAATACCGATACAGAAATAGTGCATTTCGGAGATTTGAGAATAACAGAATTTCAGTTAGTTGAGGTCTCGATCCTCTAAGTACTTGTACTCAAAAGTAAAGCCTTCCTTTTTTCTTTGTCCCCATTTTTCATAGTCGAAATAGATGTACGTGCCCTGAAAATGTTAACGGTATCATAAGATCGTTTTATTTCGATGAACTATTGCTGTCAAGCCAGAAGGAAGTAATTTACTTGTTCATATTCCTCATTAATAACTTTGGGTTCTTCATGCCTTTGAAACCACATCATGTATTTGGTATGAAACCTCCAACTTTGTTTTTTTAAAGCCTTAGCTGCCAAATATTGACCTTTGGAACCTTCCATGTAGTAAAATATGAAAAACAATGTTTCCGTTGAAAGACGTTGGAAGAATTCCACACTATCAGAATGAGGAAGCGGTTGCTGTAAATTAAAGAATTTTGGTTAAAATTTATTATAATTACCATATAACGTTTCATTTACTTTTGAATAGTTTCAATTATTAAGTAAACCCAGGAAGAGTAAAATGTACTTTCAATAAAATATTTAAATATTATTGTGATCTCAGCAATTCTGACGAACTGTTCGTATAACGGCTCTGCATTGCTGTGTTACTCTTGTATGTATATGCTGTCATCATTGGCATATTAAAAAATCCTCAGATTTGTTGTGAACCAATATTGTACACAGCAATGGGAACATCTTATTTTACATGGCTTCCGAACCATCGGACCACAGTTGAAAATGTGCACATAAAAAATTAGTTTTCTAGAAGTGCGAGCTAAGTGAGTAAAGGCCGGATCTCCAACTCGTGAGCATGTGTTACCAAGCCCTCGAGCCGCAAGAATTGCAGCCTAAACCACTGTACTGCCATAGCCGCTCAATCGAGCTCTTTCACAGACCTTCCAGAATATTCAGAAAATACATCATTAAAAAATTACCTGTTGATAATATGGAGGAGTAATACAACTATTTCGAGGCAAATACGATCTCAGGCGTTCCGAGTCGGAGGGATGTGGCATGTGATAGTACGCTGCTTCCATCATTTGGAACTGATGTTGATGTTCCTTTGTCAATGGAACTGGTCCTAATGGAGCAACACCTAATAGCGGTGGAATGTGAGCTTCCGCGGTTGCGTTACTACTATTGATAGCATTGTTCGTCTTTGAACTATCAAAGATGTTTCTCGTTGGCTCGGACGGCGGAGGCAGCTCTATACCTGCCCGTACTATCACTTGCTGAGCTATGGACTTCAATGAAGACATGCCATCAGAAAGTTTGGGTATGAGACCGTTGGCAGTGGATGGCGCTGGGGAACATGAATTCGCGGGAATGGGCGAGGATTGACTGCTCACGGACGAGTGCGGAGATACCGAGGGTGGCACGGGCGTCGGTATTTCCACCTCGTTATTGTAAGTCTGACTTTGATTAAGCAGTATATGCTGCTGCGTTTGCGTCGGTGCCGTTATCACAAGCTGCTGTTGCTGAGGTTGTAATGCTTGCTGTGGTTGCTGTAGCTGCTGCTGCTGCTGCTGCTGTTGTTGTTGTTGTTGTTGTTGTTGTTGTTGTTGTTGTAACTGCTGCTGAGGCTGTGGTGTTTGCTGAGTCATTTGAGGCTGTTGTAGTGGTTGCGGCGGCTGTTGCTGTTGCTGCTGCTGCTGCTGTTGTTGTTGTTGTTGTTGTTGAGAAATGACTTGTGGCACGATGGACGTTACATTTGGCGTCGATGCAGACGACGGTAATCCGTTCTCATTAGGGTGCGCTGAAATGTAAGAAAAAAATCCTTTGACTGTAAGAGAAAAAAAAAAGGTCTATCATATTGTACACAATAAATGCTCACGTGTTGCTTTATTAATGGCAGCATGAGCAGCTTGAGAATTGCTGTGAGAGGCAGCTACCATGGCAAAATTGTTAATGTTTGTTGTTGCAATATGATTCGTAGTGGAGCTAGGGGAGCTATGGCTAGATGTCATGGGAATGGTTTTGCTCGGAGTGCTGCTTGTTATCAATGCTGTTTTCACATTGGCAGTGCTTCCCGTTGTTGGAATGCTCGCTTGGGAATTAACCAGTGGCCTAACTGCTGTTGGTTTCACAGGCTGAAACAAAAAATTTTAATACGCTTGTCATAGCGAGCAAGTTCAATGGTACATTGTTTTCTGATGCTTACCTTAGTTTTCTTATCATTATCCGTAGAGCTATCACTTGAATGATTGTGCATGGTTGAACTTAATGGAGGTGACGGTATTGGTGAAGAATTAGAATTTGTGGATGTTGGTGTACCACCAGTCTCATTACTGTTATTACTGTCCGTTGTCGCCGATGATGGTATTGTCACGCCAGATAGTTCTACTTCGTCAAGACCAATGATATCATCATAAATGTACTCATTTTCTTCGAAATCAGGATCTTGAGACGATTCAATGTAGTATTCAACATCATCCTTTATCCTTTTGATCTGAAATTTAAAATGGATAAAAATAATAAACATCATTAAGGCTGGGATATAATCAAACTTTTTTTTAATATTACCGTATCAACTTCAACTGACATGTTATCCAACATACGTAGCAAGGTTTCCAATTTTCTTATGTGATATCTATGCTTTTCAAGTTTTGTTTTAAGTTCATCCATTCTATCTTGTTTGTCTTTGTCTAGCCTTTTTTTCTTACCAGCAAGTAAAGACTCTATTTCAGATTCAAATGTATCAAGCTGTAAAAGTAAACGAACATTAACATAGATACGTGGATGACTTAAATAAGGATTGATGAGCATTGCTCTCCTTGCCTGCAAATTGAGGGTATCAATAGAATTTGCAAGCCAATTACTGACTTCTTCTCTTTCTTTTTGAGCAGGATCTAATTTCTGAGCAGCCCCCAACCCTTCTTTAGAGTAGGCTTTTGTTTTTGTTTCCCTTTCCACAACTTTAAATCGTTCCATTTGCTAGAAAAAAACAAAACAAACAACATAAATATAAAGAAAGACTTTTCATTAGTCATAAATGTTATAAAAATAAAAACTTACTGTCTCAATGAGTTTCCTGTATTCAAGTAACGTACTCTTATCCTTAATTTCTCCAGATGCAATCCAGCTTTTAATCTGATCTCGTAACCTCTGAAGCTTCTTGATCTCTTTTTTGAGATCAGCCTCATATTTTTCCTTCTGATTGCTGTTTGTAGCATTATGAACTTTTTGCCAAATATCTTCGAACGTTTCAACCCCTTCTGTCACTTTCTTAAGGCACCTGTCAATTTCACCTAAAAAAAAAAAAAATTAACAATTTGTATCTTAACAGTACAAAAGATTTATCAAATAATGATATCTATTTTTTTACGGATAACAAAACTATCATTTATGTTATGGGTTTAATTTAGCATGGATACATACTATTTGAAATATGTTGAGAAAAATTAGATTGTTACATTTTGTGCGAACACATATTTACATCAACATTGTTCCAACTCCTTTTGTGCTACATTGATGGAAAAAAATTTCATAAATAAATTAAAAGATTTAATGATCCGTTAAAGAATAATCTGAATGGAAAATAATTTAAAGTCAATGAGTTGGAAGTGCTTGAAAGAACATATCATTTGGCTGGAAAGGTTATATCAGTAATGCATCATCAAGCCTGAGACAAATGTTCACAGAAAGTGTGCAAAACGGGATGAACGAACAGCAGACGTGGATGGCACAAAGTCTTAGAAGCAGGATTTAAAGCCCCTTTGAACCGTGAAAAGGGACAATGGTGATAACGAGGATTCAAAAATGTAGTAGACCTGATAAGAGGAGCGTGAAATAATAATGATGAAAGGATAAACAAGCATTAAAGAGACCAATGACGATTGAAAATTGTATGAACCATTCCTGGAGCAGAAGATGAACAGTTTATGAGACAAAACAGAAAAGGACATGGAACGGAGAGACAGCTCTTGCGGGGGGTACAAGTAGTTTAGCGCGAGGTCGCTGGTGTCCATAGGATACAAAAGGGGAGTCGGTGAGGTTTTCGGAACAGAATCATCTCCGAGGTTGATGTAAACACAGGCGCACTCGGCAAAGTGATGGGTGTACGTGAGTGTGGAATAATTTCCACTCACCTTGCAACTTTCTCGTCGCAGCCATGGCTATGTAAGCGCAGGGTACGATGGCTCATGCATAGTCTGAATGTTACAGACGCGGTGCGAAGCGTTATGTGTCTTTCTGTGTGCGTGAGAGAGAATATGATCGCCAAGTGTATTTCTTTCTCTCTTGGAGTTGCTGATAATAGTGATGATGCTGCTTCTGTTGTTTCTACACTGCCGCTGATATTCTGTCTGATGCCGAGGACGACACACATACACACACACACGCGCGCGCGAGATACTGAAATGCTGCTGCTGCTGCTTCTACACAGAACAGAACGAACCGACGAACAAATAACCAAGAGATTTGCTGATGCTGTATTGCAATATATATAGCTGTACGCTGTACTCCGCTGCTGCTAACTTACTGTGTATAGTACGTTCTCTCGCGTTCTATTACTATACAATTCTTACGAGTATATATATGTATGTATATATACATATACACCCAAACCCAAACCCCCTTGGAACTTTTAGCTCTCTTTCTTTCTCTGTTGTACTATACGTACACACAGACTCATATATGTATCAAAGAGGCTGAGTATATATATAATATGGGAGGCCACAAGATGGCTTCCGTTTTCAAATGACAACGACCGTCTCTTTCCTTTGCTCGCACTGTCGCGCACAGTCCACACACCACACACAAGGTGTGTTTTTTTAAGTATTATCCTGTCCTTCTCTCTCTAAATCCGTGACAAAGTTGTTGCAAGCAGTCAAGTTATAGATAAGTTGGTAGTATATAGTACGATAAGGGCGCCCCTTAGCTGTGTGCGACGCTTCCTTCTCCCAAGAGAGAAAAATACTTGTGCACCAACAACTCCTCTTTTTTCTCTCAGCTTTGCTCCTTTACTCGTTGTTGGATATCCTTGTTCTCTCTTCCTTCTTTCTTACAACAACGTTCCGCAGTGATGCGCTCCGCACCCAGAAGTACCTATACAATACTCGGTAGCGGGAACGGACTGCCTCGTTGACGATCTTTAACTTTAACCTCTCTTTGGTGTGTAAAATCTATGTATTTACGAGAGTAAAGAGCCGTAGGTTTAGGTAGGTAAGGATACGTTTTGCTAAACGTATCAGGGCCCCCGGTTGGGGTGCGCAGGGCAAGCAGCTTCTTACACATGGGGGAGGCGAGGCGAGGCAGGCGTTAATTAATGTATTTATAAGTAGGGTATACATGTTTATTTCCTTTACTCTTGCAGTACTACATGATATGTTTTGTTTACGTTGAGCGCTACATATGTAACTTAATGATAAGATGCACCCCCGCGCTTAATGCTCATATATGTCGAGACCCTCGACATATGTATATTCGTCGACAAAACAACAAATATTTAATGACAGTGATCGTCGACGACATGAACGAGCGCCCGAATCGCACGAATCACCAATCGAGATTGAAACTCGCCTTTTTCGTGCTCTCTCTCTCTCTCTCTTTCTCTGTATAATATCGCGTTATCACTTTATTACTTATAGGTACAGATATAAATAACATAGGTATCAACGTACTTATATACAGTAATTTTGAGTGAACGTGATATATTATATATTATTCTTCTATGTATATACCCTGCCGATAACATCAATGTTGTAATCAGTCGTTGATTCTGCGCTGATCCAGTAGAATCTATGTTGATTTAAGTCGAATTACTTGGTATTTCACATCCGATGACAATGATCTTCTTTTTTTTTTTTTTCATGATTTATCATTGATATTTTTTATAAGGTTATTTATTAAACTCCTCTCGTGATGCGTATACACATTTTGTTTAGGTCCTCGTACGCAACGTATATACACATGCAATCTGATAACAGCAATGAGCAAAAGTCAATTACTTAAGCGCGGCTTGTATGTTATTTTCTTTCGGGAGAAAAGCCGCTCCAAAAAATAATATATACATAATATTACATATCAGGTATCTTGAGCTGTATTCTGTAAGCAACTTCGGACGATGTGTTCGGAGCTTTGTTTTTTACACACGTTTTAGGTCTGCCTCATTTACTCAATTATTCATAAAAATTTTTTTTTAAGAACTGTATGCCAGCGATTGTAAGAGAAAATTTTTGAAAAACCTCTTTTTTTCACACACTTTTAAGAAAACGATTTTTACAGAATGAAAGTCTCGTTTCATACTTAAATTGTGTATGCACTTAAATGATACACGTAAGGATATATATTAATAGATTTACTTTTGCGGCTACGTGTAATGCACACCATTACACCACAGACACAACTCAATCTTTGCACCACACACAGTATATACACGTGTGCATTAGAAAAAAGCCACGTGCGTCGTTCCAAATGCTGCTTGAAGAAGAATAAATATAGTTATTAATTCAGTGGTGTAAGGGTATACATATTAATAAAGTGATTATATAGGTGTTTCTAACGATATAATATTTTGAGAATTGTTCAATTTATTTACTATTAATATCACAAATTATTATATTTTGTATTTACTTAATCACTTATTTCGAATCTGAATTTTACACAGTTAGGTATTGATAATAAAAAAGTGACAAATTTGACTTATTATATGGGGATGTATTTAATTTAAACAAGAAATAGTAAACATATATATGTATAAGAACCAGTGTGGAACCACGAACCATAGAGTATACGGTTTCGAATACAATTATGATATATTTAAATTAATTTTCAAATCATGAAAAAGTTATGCTTCATTTTTTTCTCTCAACTTACATCTGATATAACAATTTTACGAGGCACGTTGGTCAACTTTTTTTAAACCATTTTCGTACATTATTTCTTAGTACGCCACTGTCCTACGGTTATACTCACAGAGAAACGTAGTTTCAAAAATGTTTTAGTAAAAATTTTGTACTATCACATTTTGCCACACGTTCATGAAAAATACTCGATGAGACCCGTGGCTGTACGTATTTTTTTACCGATGCCAACAAACTACCTTAAATAAAAAAATATATATTTGTAAACNCAGCTTGGCAACTCAAGTATTTAGTAACTCGGTTTCGTCGGCAATTATGGCTGGTGCTACTGCACCGGAACGTCCACTTATGCACCCATACTGTATTTTTACAGCAAATTTTTAAAAAAATATTAACGCTCTTTTTGACTGTCTGAATAGTAGGTCGGGTAACGATAAAAATCCTTTAAGACGACCATTATCTGATAAAAACCCTCAAGTCATACAGTACTTACAAAACAGCTTAGAGTACGTTAATTCTTGGAAATGCAGTGATAAAAATGGAAATCCTCCTTGCTTTGACGGTTTGTATTTAACTATCAAAAGTATTCTACTCCAGTGGGAGGACATGAAAGAGCAAGGGAGAGTTTATCTGCTAACGACTCGCCTACAACAGGACCCGTTGGAAAATTTATTTGCGGCATTACGAGACCGTTCTGGCCATAATCAGAACCCGGCAGCAATTCAAATTAGATATAATTTACAGTACAGCATCACTGCTAATTTATCTTCAGCTTTCCATTCCAGTAACTGTAAACCGTGCGGAACGGTCGCTCTTTTAGCATCCCCCGAATTTGATAAAGCACATAAGACCCTAGAAAAGAACGAAAGCTCTGAAAAAAAAGATAAATAATGACGAAAACTTTTTTCTCGATAATAGTTACTTTGATTTTTGTACTCACGAATACGTATAGCACCCCCAAGATTCTTGCACAGCGAGTGGTACAGATAGCAATTTGTGTAACGAAAACACGGAGCAAGTAACAAATGTCAAATCCAGCAACGGCTCATTGAAATTGCTTAATATTTGTAATGAAAGTGCTGATCTACAATTGGACAAGTCTCTCGACGCTCAATCACTCGAATTAAGTGATTCGTACACGCCTCTGCGATCTTCAATGAAGCACGTTGCTGGATACGTTGCTATGAAATGTTTGGCAAAATCTGGCTGCACTGATTGTAAATCCAGTTTAACACGGGAAAATAAGAATTTTGAGCAAAATGACGATTTATTAATATTTTTTAAAGCTTACAAAGTTTTTCAAACTACAAATGAACTCGGTAATCTGTGTGTACCTTCGGACTTGTTTTTTAAAGTAATCGTGGTATGTATTGAAACATTTGATCCCATCGCAACGAAGTCATTGCATTTTTTGTTAAAGTTCACATTTTTTATAAATTAAAATGGATGAATCGTGATTTCCTAGATGCCAAAAAAAAACAAATGTTGAAAAAAACCGAATGCCAAACTGAAAAAATTAAGACATGAATAATCCTATTAGCAAGTCAGTACGTGTTCCGTTTGTTGAAAAAAAAAAAATTGTGATTCGTGAAAAGTAATAAAATAATAAGGAAAATTGTAACTCAAAAAAACTTAAGATATTGTAAGTCAAGATTGTTTTTTTTCCCTTTAGCATAATAATTTGAACTTTATTGCGCACTTTTTTGTTTATTCCGGAAAGTTGTTTCTTTGCGATTTTTATAACTTAAGCCCGGGAAATTTGAAAAAAAAAAAATTGTGATAGAAATTCGTTTACCAGAAGTTGACGTCTGACCAATACCTGCCTTATCTACTTAAAATTGGACATTCTTCATTCGATTTTCCATTTTACATTGTGGCTAAAATAAACTGATTAATATATTTATCGGATTTTTTTGGCGGTCGTTTGGTCGCTCGACTCCATATAGTCCATATTCTGTTTGTTTTTTTCAAGACATTGTCGCGTTCGAAAATTACCGTTCGTCATCACTGATCGTTCGTTTCAAAATTACGAAGAAGTTTTTGCTGATTATGGATCGGGTAGTCTTTTGTTTCCACAATTAGTCTGTTGTTCCAACAAATTTTCTATACACTTTTGATATTTGGAACAAACGATCCAAGTAACGAACGGTAATTTTCAAACGCGCCCATAGGGTCCGTTCGATATAGTCAAAGTTATTTTCATTGAATGTACGGGCTCTGCATAGATAAATAACACTGCAAAAATTTTAAGATTGAACGTAAAATAGTTAAAAACGGTGTTTAATAGAAGTCAAGTGCGGAGTGTGGACCACTTGAATCCGAATAACGTGCAAATGGACTGATATAAATATATTAACAATGTAAATACACCGGAAAAGGAAGATATATGGGTCATTCTACCGAAAACGGTTTATTTAGTGAACCAGTCAATTACAACGCCATGCAAGGAGATATCAATCTGAAAATGTTTTTAAATAATCAAGGAAGGTTTTTTGCTTAAGATACTACGTAATTCAAATCATAATAAAGTATTACTTAAGTTTAAGCTACAAAAAAAAGCTAAATTAACGTTACGGGCTAATGTCTCACTCGAAAATATACTTTTCCGCCCTCGGGTGGTTTTGGGAGGCTGGTACTTCCTCGGGCGAAAAAGCAGTTTTCCGGAACTCGTTCGAAAAGTCTCCTTTACGAACCTCGTTACGTCCCTCGCCTTCGGCTCGGGCCGCAAACCTCTCGGTTCGCAAACAGAGACTTTTCAAACTCGTAGGAAAACTACCATTTTTTACGACGTAATGTCTGTAATAAAAATACGGATTTTTTATTTTTTTGCATCATGGGATCTCAAAGTTATAAACACAAATAACACTTTGAAGCATTTGTATTAAAAACTTGAATGGTGTTTGAGTTGCGAGACCTAAATATTTAACGAAAAATACAAATCCACGCAATGCAATTATGGCGTTCCAATTTAGAAGTTTCTTGTTTTATGGGGGTCAAAGATGTTGCAGGAATTTTGTCCGCTTTTTTAATTCGAATAAGCCAGTGTCTCGAATTGGTATAAATTAGCGAGTCCGTAACGCTAAGGAAAGTCATGCAACTTTTGAAAGCGTTTGGTTATCGACTTGGAAGGTGATGGGTTAAAATATATACCTAGCTATTAAAATTCGGTGGGTCACAATACGGATTTTCCAACGAATTCATAAAAGTCCGTTACGCTCCTTTTTTTCTCTAAATTCGTATCTTCGTTCACTGTTGGATTATCGATTAAAATATTGACGTGTACGAATTTTAATAGTAAGTACGTGATATAAATATAAGAACCAAGTCATATTATCATTGACAGCGCCTTTTAGTTACAACAAGATTTTATAAGAGCCCCTCGTTACGCTTCTATTTTTCTTGAATAAAATAATAAAGTCTTCATACAAATTTTTCCTCGTCCAGATCCAGCAGGGCCCAAAAAATTAAAACTTATTTTAGTCACGGACAATACGAAAATAGTAGTTTTCCTACGAGTTTGAAAAGTCTCTGTTTGCGAACCGAGAGGTTTGCGGCCCGAGCCGAAGGCGAGGGACGTAACGAGGTTCGTAAAGGAGACTTTTCGAACGAGTTCCGGAAAACTGCTTTTTCGCCCAAGGAAGTACCAGCCTCCCAAAACCACCCGAGGGCGGAAAAAATATTTTAACAATTAACACCTGATTTTAAGTGTTTGTCCATTCCTGCCCTTATGATATGCCGGTTTTCGTATAATGTTCCATATACCTATTAACGCAGTACGAAATGGACCGATCGAGTGGACGATTCCTTTTGTAGCAACAAATTTTTCAAATAACCAAATGATTGTAATTGTTCTGTCAAATAGTCAAATCATCGCCTGTACCTACAAACTAAATAATTAACAAAGCCATTATTCTGAATCTGATTATCTTTTGGTGATGCGGATAGATCTGCCGCGTGTGAAATTTACGTAATACCTAATCGACTATTTCGTGCACAATCAATCGATCAATTTTAAATCATCGATCAAAATTAGTCATTACAGTCTGCTGTGTTGTACAAATATATTTATATAACATTTGAAAATTGGATAGTCGGTCGGCAAATTACTAGTGGTCGATAATAAATATCTACATGTGTATAATGTACATATATGTATATTGACACATAATAATAATATGATATTAAGCAAAAAAAGTGCTCTGAACGGTGGCGACTGCGAGCGCGCGGATGGTGAGTGCGTGTACTTACCTGTATAAATGTAAACAAACTTCACTTCAAACTCTCAGGTTTTGGACTCGATCAGATCAACATCTACAGGGTGAACTGCAACAAATAGCACACGTGCTCACGGTAAAAAAAAGGGAATCTTATAAACGGACGCACATATTACAGTTAATTATTGTATTAATTATCGTCATTATAATATCAACTTTTTGGTTCTAGGTGTGTACTATCACCAGAGAAAAGAAGTTTTGAACAAAAGTCTAAACCGAAGAATAAATTTAGTGTAGACCAAGATTTCTTGAGTTTTGTACTTATCTATGTTTGTACCAAGGAAAAGTGTGTAACGAAAAGCATTCGAGAAATGTGTTTGTAATAGATAAGATCGTGAGTGCTGATTATGTCGAGGTTAACTACAGCCAACGGTTATTTTAATTATTTAACGGAAAAATTTTTAATGCAAGAAATAGTTTTCGAGGTATAGGTAATATACACCTACCATAAACCGTAAATTCAAGAGAAAAATTTTATTTATTAGTAGTTTGAGTTAACACATTAGCAGACGACAATAATCTCGCCCACCTGTATATATATATTTCATCCATTAAAAAATCACGAGCCCCTCAATTGTTTTTTTTTTTTTTTTTTTTTTTAGCAACGATGACGACGACGAAAACGACAACGATGATGATGATGATAGCGTCGGTGGCCAGGTCAGGCTATCATCATCACAGGATCAGCGGCATCCGCCGCATCATATCACACTTTGTACATCATCTGCAGCACAGCCGCCAAGGCTCAAGTGCCGCGCGGCGACGACCGCAATCGCGAGTACTTACAAGGCAAATATCGCCAAGTAAGCGACAGCGCAACGCATCAGACGCGTCAGTTGCACGACATTTTTCAGACTGAACGGACGTGAATATATAAATGATGGATTCTCTGCTCTCCTACGTACTTACGATATTTTCTTCATCACCGGCCTGACTGTAGTACAGTGCAACATTAATTACAGTAGCAGTTATAACAAGTATCGTACTTATAAGTCGTATTGACGCAGCACGAGGGCCGCAGTCGTAACACCGCATCGCTTTGAGCCATTGTGTGCGTGCATCTGTCTGCTCTTTTTTTTTTTATTGTTGTACATACATACACACATATAATACGAAATTATCTATATCCTTGCTCTTCTTGCTTGTATTGTAGGATCTACAATCTAAATTCTACACTACAGTCTACATATATAACGAGCAGTATAAGCTCTGCACTGCCGCCCTTCTGCCCCGCAGAGTCGCAATCAAGCAGGCAGACACAAACGGAGCAGTTCGGGAGTTAGTAGCGTCGGCCTAACCTCACTTAAACTCGTTTTTCATAAGCAACACGAGCACAGCCGCATAATCTGCTGCTTCGTGCTGGTGCTTATTGTCCGGCTTGTCTAAGTCGCGTCAGTTTTTTTGGTGGTTGGTTTTGTGTGTTCCCAAGAAAAGGGCCCACGGAGGGCTTGTTTCGTGCTCATAAGTATTCATTAGAGAGGCCTGAATTGTGCAAGCAAGACACATTGGAGAACTGCGCGCGCGTGCTGAAAACGAAATGTGGGCGGCCTGGCTGCTGCACGCCGTGCCGGAGTCATCAGCTCTGCCATTATCATCGTCGTTATCATCTTCTCTGACTGTGTCATCGTCTGCAGGAATACAGCACCAACACGGCCAAGAGGAGTAGAGAGTAGCGACGGCCGCCGTTGCCGTGGTCGCTCCCCGTCTCTTGGGTATGGCATGACGCCATTTTACTGACCTGCCGACGAGGAAGCGACACCCGGAGGAGTCCATGGTTCACAGCTTATGAGCAAACCAGGAACGCCGGTAGAAGCATAGTTTCCGTCTCCGCCCCGCGCTGAGAATATATACATATATCTATTTGTTCACTCGCCCACCTACACACGTATTTCTCCGCATTGCGCAGACCTTACCGCGAGGTACGTTTTATTTATTTACCTACCTCACTAACTTTATGGAACACTATACACTTGCACCCGAAATTTATTTAGTTACTTCATTATGTTAGAGATGATCTGAGCCCTGCACAAACTACATACTTACAACTGAGCAGAGTGTTAGCTAGATTATTTCCAACGTTTATATACCTAAGTAAAATGCACACACAAACGTGATCGGAGCTTTTCGACTAGTCGTTTCATTGACTCCCTCTCTCTTTATCTCGCATCCCCTTTCACTTTCATTACGCATAGGTATCTCGTATCTACACCCCCGTTCGCCACCTTTCCTCCCCCCCCCTCGTTGTCCATGAGACATTTCCCCAAAGGCCACCTATACCCATCCACCGGGTGCATTGCGCTCGCGTTCTCACTCGTCTTTCTTTTGCATCCATACCATAAGTACTTATACCTCTCAGTTCTTTCTCCGTCTCACCGTGTGCTCTTTTTATCCAGCGTGTGTGTCGTAATAACTACGGTGACGACGAGCACACGTCTCTCCATGGCGATAACATTCTCGGAACCCCGTAAAAGCGCTTGATTTTTTTTCCTCAAAGCATTACCATTTCACGCTTTAAATAGTTTTGTCTCGGAGATCAAATTTTTTTCATTCTCCGCCTCTTCATTATTATTATTATTATTATTATTTTTTAACACTCTTTTTTTGTCAATTGTCGTGGATTTTTTAGTTTATTTTTTTCATGTTACTTTTTTTTGTAGCTGGAACTCTAACACTTTTGTTTTCTTTACTTTAAAACTGCGTGATCTTTGTACAAATGTGTTGAGAAAAAAGAAACGAAGAACAATAGAGCCTTGTTAGCCATTCAGTCTTTTTGTTAGAATAAGTTAAACTTGAACTCACATTCATTTATTGTTTTAATATTAATGTAGTTGCAGCGATCAAGCTTGCACAATATCACTCAACTTTACCACTTGAAACAAACAATTATTGTAAAGACTAATTTATGAGCACGTGAAACTTATATAATAACATGATGTGCTAGAAATTGATTAACATGAGATTTCGTTTTTTTTCAGGTAATAGCACTTGTCAGTTTGAACTATTATGGAAGATGAAAACAATGAACATGGACTTGTTGACACTTGGGGCCTGTGGGAGGAGGCTTATTACAAAAAACAAACTGGAGAAACAACAGTCACTCAAATGAATAATTCAGCTGTATGCTTGGATGATTCAGAAGAAAATAGAGAAGATTGCTTTTATTCTGCTTATTCGTATGAGTCAGATGGCAACGGTAATTCGAATGCAAACATTAAAAGTGTCATCAGAGGATTGAAAAATAATATTTTAAAACAAAAGCAAGAAAATCAATCCAATTTATGTAATGACACCGAGTCAACCCAACAAGAAGCTCAAATCAATGACACTACTACGGAAGAAAAAGAGAATACTAATAAAAAAGAAGAGGATAAAAAAGAAACAAAACCAGAAAAAATGACCGAGTACACTCAGTACTTGGGTCTCAAGCCATCGTCTAAACCTGAGTGTAATAATACTAATGCGCTGGAAATAGCATCAACTTCATTGGATTCAAATTTGAATGATCAATTCAATCATTCTTCTGCAACAACTCCACCACAAGAAGTCACTAACGACGATACTGAATCACTTATTCCTAGCGATTACGAGGATGGACCTATTATTAATCCCAAAGAAGAATCCATTTCTGATTTGGGATCACCAAACTCTAACATTTTTGAGGACGGTACTGCTTGTGATTCAGAATCTGTTGATGATTTTAAAGTATCAGTTCCAGTTACGTCCAAGGTAGAGTCTATTTCCGATTCAGAACCAGTGCACAGGGATGACTTTAAAGTATCAACCCCAATTACATTCGAGGATCGGTCTACAAGTGATACAGAACAAGTTGATGGCTTGGAAGAATCAGCTCCAATTATGTCCAAGGATGCTTCCGTTTGTGATTCAACACCAATACCTTCGGATGACTTGCAAGTGCCACCAGCACCGGTCACATCCGAGCTTGCGCCTATACGTCATTTTAAAAAAGAAATTGTCGACGACATCGAATCACCACCTGCTAGTCCATCCGAGATTGGATCTGTTAACAATCCAAAGCTTGAACCCTGCGATAGTCCTGAAGGGGAGGCATCTGTTAGTAACTTTGAAATGTCTACTCATGCGCCCGAAGTTTTATCTCCTGCTGGCTCTGAAGTTCATGCAGATGATAGTTACACGAAAGCATCTACTTATAGCTCTAGGCCACGATCTTCTAGTGGCTCTCCATTTAATGGATTTGCCAGTGAAGAACAGTCTATTATAAACTCAGAACTAGCGTTCGCTAATTTGTTTGAGTTACCTTCTACAAGTAAAACAGATGCATCTAGTAATTTAGATCAACAAGCTACGCAGAGAGTTAATCAACAGTTAACTAGTAAATTTGATGGTTCCTCTGTTAGTAACGTTGATCAACCGTCTATCAGTGATTTCAACCAGCCTTCTACTAGCAATTGTAAACAAACTTTAGCAAGTGATTTCGATAGACCCTCTACCAGTAAACTTGACGAACCGTCTACTAGTAAATTTGATCAACCGTCTACTAGTAAACTTAATCAACCATCTACTAGTAAACTTAAGAAACCATCTAGTAGTAAACTAAAAAAACCATCTACTAGTAAATTTAATCAACCATCTACTAGTAAACTTAATGAACCATCTACTAGTAAATTTGATCAACCATCTACTAGTACTTCAGCTCAGTCTTCTAAAAGCTCTAAAAGCAAGCAACGTAAGCGTTCAGGTAGCAAATCATCACGCAAATCAAATTCTGAACATCCCAAAAGCAACAAGAAAGTTTATTTATGCGCAGCATGTGATACTTATTTCGAAAAATGGAATCTCTTTTTACACATGCGTGAAGTGCATGATCGTCACATATGTTTATTTTGCCTTGGTATGTTTGCCCAAGCAGACAGGTTGTCTCATCATTTAGCGAAAAAGCACAAAGTTCCAGAAACGAATTATCACACTCTGGAGGAGTTTCATCAAACTTTTAAAGGTGGTTGTTACGTTGTCTGCTGTGCTTGTGAAAAAATGTTTACCGAGACTGATAATTTTGCAGATCACGACTGTCCTAAAGAGCAGAGCCAACAGCCATCTGCAGAACCATGTTCAGTGTGTAAAAGGATTGGTACTCACATGGACACGTGTAGTTTTGCACCTGAAAAAGAAGACGAAACAGCCGTTTTACAACCAGTAGTGAATGACACTATAACAAAACCGCCTGATGTTGCTGCCAACGTGTTTACATCAAGCCAATCGGTCACTGGTGCCAGAAGGCAGTCTCAAAGGACTATCAAACCCAATAGGTATAACGATGATGTTTATTTGTATACTGATTTAGTACAAAGACGCGGAAAAAAGACTAAACCACAAAATCAATCGGAACCAAGGGATGTGGATCATCAAACGAGTCCTGAAGTGCAAAACAATGCTTCCATCAGTTTACCCCAAACACATCAACAGGATTCGTTTCAAGATTCTGCTACTGAAACATCAATGGAGATTTCTCGTGGTACGGATGATCAAGTGACCAACGAGAATAACTCTTACGAAAATGAGTTGTCCAGCAGTGATTATCAAAACGTTAGCTTGCATCATAGTAAAAAGTGGAACAGTGATAGTGCCAATAACATTAACGATAATGTGACTGAAACTAATGTGGAAGTATCCAACTTTGTAAATAATCCTAACTTATCCTGTGCAGACAGAGCAATGGCTGAAAACTTGATTAATGGTACAATTGAATCATCAGACCCAAAAAGTGAAGATGATGTAAGATTGAGTGAAGCAGAAAACGAAGAGCACGAAGAAACTAATGAGTTTGGTTTGGATAACAACAGTGCACATGAGGATTCTGATTCAGGTTCTGAATCTCAAACATCAATCAGTCCTGACGATCCTACTAAGCAATCTGTTCGAAGTCCTAATTTTAATACTGAAAAAGTTGCAATGGAAACGAGAATAGAATCAACAGTAAAATCGGAAAGTAAACCACCTGTATCAGGTGGCAGTTTGATTATCAAATTTTCCAAAAATAATTCAACTTTTTCCATATGTTCTTCATCCCCGCATTTGAAAGCAGAAACTAGAAATCACGTTTCTCGAGATTCTGAAGAAAATAACAACGCTGATGAAGCATCCGATGGCAAACGATCGATACCTGAAGTTAAAAAGGCTATCAAGCGTGAACTGAACAGTAATTCAGATAGCGACAGGCTAACAATAGCTGACGATGATAGAGAAATGCCACTAGGTAGTATTTTAATTGAACCTGATTTAAATAAAGAAGGTAATAGTGGTGTCGAAGTAAATGAACTTGAACCGGAACAAGTGAAAGAAACAGTAAGAAGATTCAAAGTTGAACCTGACGATGGTATTCCATTGGCTGGTGAAGAGGTACCTTTGGTGGATTTGAATGTCGATAACCTATTGGAAAATATGGATATAGAGGACTTGCTGAAGCTCTGCATACAGGCTGTTTGTAGTATATGTGTTTATTGCAACCATGCCAGGTGCATAGCAGCCAACGGCAAGCAGCTAGGTCTACATATGCTAGCAGAGCACAGGTTTCAGCCTCAGCATTCCGCAATCATTATTCAGCAGGAGCAGTTTACAGCGAGGGTGAAAAAAAGCTTGGAGGATCTTAAAGATTATTACTTTAATTTGAACTCTTACAACAGCAAACAAGGCACCTACAATGTTTCAACGGACAAAGTGTACGAGTGCTTTCACTGTAGAGTTTATACGTCTGCGCACAAAGAACTTTACGTGCACAATAGAAAAGTGCATCAAAAAACAATACTGATATGCATAATGTGCAAGTCAACGTTTTACAGTTACAGTGAATTAGTGTGCCATTTGTGTCCAGGTGTATACGTCGCGATCAATGACATGAAGTACCGCTGTTGTTACTGTGCAATAAAGAGTCTTCCCTCGGCTTTCAGACTCATGGTTCATCTGCGGAAACAGCATCACGCTTGCGACGTTTGTCTGGAAATCACGGGTCATCAAATGCGTTTGGCGAATCACGTGTGGAAGCACAAGTTGCAACATTTTTGTTACAGATGTGGTATCGCTTACAGAAACAAGCCGGACATTACGAAGCACTTGTTCTGGAAACACGGCACAGAGAGCGTTCTTTGCAAAAAGTGTTTGCAAAAAAAGTGGCCTCACATTTACCATTTTTGCACGCCAGCCGCGTCGTTCAATTGCGAAGAGTGTGGTCAAAATTTTTCCCGAGCTGTTGCTCTAAAGGTGCACAAAAGAATTCACACTGGTGAATTTCCGTACTCGTGCTCCGAGTGCCCCGAAAAACTCGTATCCAAAAAACTTTTGGCCAAACACGAACAGAGTCACAGGGAACCCCCACCCCCACTGCCGCAAGTCCCGAACGTTGTCTCGCATGTAAATAGCGACCAAGCATCAATGGACCAAGAAGTGCACGTTGATGTTTGCAGTGTAGACACCGCAGAGACGAATAATGCAGCAGCAGAGGCAAACACAGAACTTGTTCCTAAAGAGCCTGTGAAGAAGGTTATCGACGTATACGATCTTCCACCCTTGAATCTGTCCTCTGATAGCGACAGCGATTTGGACGATGATAAATCCAAACAGGTTGATCCCAAAGAAAAACCCGAGAAGTTCGACAACGAAATCAGTGCGAACCAGTCTGCAACCATTGCAACGGACTCTCAAGTAGCTGTTGGACCCGTGACGAATGCAATCGTTGAAGTGGAAAAGAACGAAGAAGAAAAGAAACAAGAAGAGCAGATCATGCATGGTATTTGGGACAATTTTAAATCTTACGCAGCTAGTCTGGATAATCCCATGGTCAGCGTGACTCCGATGGAAACGGATGAGAAACAAGATACTGTTGAGAAAGGAACGACGGAACAAGGAATAGCAGACGAACCGCAGATAGAAAACAAAGTGGAGGAGAAGACGCAAGTTGTCGATCCGGAAGTTTTAAACGCAATATTGGCCGAGCACGATTATTGCGTGGTTTATTCGGACGGGAGCACGCAAGAGCCTTCGGGCGATGTGGAATCTCCCCTCGGAGAATCATCGAAAGTCGTTGGCGATGGGCAGGATGTCGGAACGGATGTGAATTTGTCGTTTAATCGGACTGACGCACAAGTCGGGGAGACCGAGTCAGCGAAGAAAAAAACCAAAAGCCCGAAAAAGAAAAAACAAAACGGCGGCACCGCGTCGTCGAGCGATTCGTCGAGTGACAGCGACTCGAGCAGTTGCTCTTGTGGTACCAATTGCAGCTGCTCCAGTTCCTCGTCGAGTAGCAGTTCAAGTTCCAGCAGCAGCTCGGATTCGGAGAGCTCTGGTTCGGAAAACTCGCCTCGAAAGAAGCGCAAGAGGGAAAAGGCTGCTGTCAAACAGGAGGACAAGACGAAGGAACAACAGCCAGAGCAACAGAGCCCACCTCAGGAAGACACCTCGGTCAAAATGGAATTCAACGAAACGGAGAAAATCGAGCATGCAGACCCGGTGGTTCCTGAAACCTTGCCAACACGGCCGCCCCCGCCGCAACTTGTGATAGTCGAGTCCGATCTCGACACGACGGAGACTGAAACTGACGAAGAATTTTACGAAGAGAACCCTCAGCTCGTAGCCTCTAAACTACTAGCTGAAAAGCACAACAAATTGCTGTCGTTCTCCGATACCCCAGTCGATACCCCAGTCGTGGACTCAGCACCGGCAGTTCCTACGAACAACGGAGCCTTCGATGTTGACGCGGCGATACTCTCGCCTGCCCTTGAGAACGAGACCAAGCCAATAAATTCCTTTTTGGAGCAGCCGAGTCCGACCAAGCGAAAAACAAAAACGAGAAGACGCAAGAGAGGAGGCATCGCTCGTGGCAGGGTGCGAAAAAACACCAATGCAACCCCAAAGACCGTCAACACGCTGAAAATAAACATTCCAAAGAATCTGTTCCAAAAGAAGGGCTACGCATCGATGCCTGCCACGCCTTCGGCTTCCTTTGTGGCTAGAAGGCCTTCGGTGCCGAATTTCTCAGTCGGCAGTTCTTACCATGAGATGATTGGCCATGCCCATGTTCCCGAGTCGCCGCGCGCATTCGACACATCAGCTCCGAGTATAGGCGGCAGCGGTTCGGAAACCGAGGCCAAACGATCCAAGAGAAAGAGGGTACCAAAGCGCTTCTACGGAGACTCCAGCGACGAGGAGGTTCAAAGGCAACAGCAGATGCTCAAGTGGAAGCGAGTCGATACTCCTGCTGGTATCGTTAAAGCTCCGCCCACGCCGACGAATAATAAACCCTTGAATTACAAACAGACCATCCAGCAGCAGCAACAACTGCTCCTACAGCAGCAGCATCAGCAACAGCAGCTCATCCTCCAGCAGCAGCAACAGCAGCAACTTTTCATCCAGCAGCAGCAACAGCAGCAGCTGCTCATTCAGCAGCAACAACAGCAGTTGCAGCTACAACAGGAGCAGTTGTTGCAACAGCAACGCTTGCAACATCAACAGCATCAGCAACAACAGATGCAGGCCACTCAAGCTGACGATGAAGAAGAGGACGACGAAGACGACGAAGACGATGACGAAGATGAAGACGTCGATGATGATAAAGGACTTGTGATAGCTGGTGCTTCGCCTAGCCAATCCAACGAAAGTAGTTCTGGCAGCAGTAGCGGCTCGAGCGATTCGGACAACGAAGAGGAGCTATCGGCACCTGCGGTGGCCACAGCGTCGACCTCGTTGTTGACGAACGAGGTCGGCTTTGGATTCACCCACGACCGCGGCTTTCCGCAGCTGCAGCCCGTCAACCAGGGCCGTCAGGGTAATTTGTACTGCTACTGCCAAAGCCCTTACGACGAGGTTTCCGAAATGATTGCCTGTGACGGGGACGACTGTCAAATCGAGTGGTTTCACTTCCAGTGCGTGCAAATTGTCAAGCCACCCAAGGGCAAATGGTTCTGTCCGGATTGTCGGCGCAAGCTCGGGATACCGGACGACGCTGAGGCTGACGGCAACGGATAGTAGGAACAGCAGAACCATGTCTTTGACGGACTGATTGTTGTACTGCTTTATTATCATTATTATTCGACGTTTGCCGGAGAGAAAAAAGAAGTGCTTATAATGACGACCGGTGGATATCGTCGGTCAGCTGTTTTATTAATATATTCTTCTTCTTGGCAAACGAAATAGAATTTAAAAAAAATAAAAACAAGTAAGAAGAAGACAGAAGAAAATTATAGTCAAGAGACATTGAAGCAGCGAATGTGCTAGCACACAAAATACACAGCAGCGTTCCATGTTAATATTTTTCTTAATATTGAAGGTAATTTTACATATTACACACACAACACGCGTTTGTATATAATACTTGTAAATACGTAAAATTGTAAACGCCCTAGAGTTTATATGATAAAATGAACAAAGTAAGTTTTTTTTGTGTAAATTTCTTTGTAAATTTATATATTAGACAAGAAAAAAAAATGTAATTTTAATATACGATTGAAAACACATTCATGCATTGAACGTAAGCAAAAAGAGATAGAGGGCTGTCCTAGAACTTAAAGAAAAAAATCAGAGTTTACTGTCGGCACTGCTGGCAGTGTCTGTGATTTAAAAAAAAAAGGCGACGATTCCTTCAAAAAATCAATTCTTAACAAGCGGTGATTAATATTCTTTAAACAAACCGAGCACTTTTTCTTTTGTAATAATAATTAACGAAGGATTACCCTACTCATTGATGTTTGAGGAAGCTTTAGGAATATTAATTTTATAAAGATAAGTTAAAATTATTATCATTAAATTGTCGATTCAGTATTAACATAAAAATTTTACGCAAGATTATGACCTCGTGGGTTATCCTTCGTTATCTTTATTTATGTTAATGAGTATTGAGTTTATTGAAAATCAAGTAATTACATTATTTCAGTCGTCTCACACGTATGGCTCGTATTAGTGAATGAATTGATTTAAAGTCGAACATGTTCCATTATTGATTGACTTGTTTAATTCCTTTTGTATGGTTTGAAAAAATACAGACATTTGAAATCATCGACTTTTGTTTCATAATTTTTAAATACTTTGTTTAACGGCAAATCTGTCGTAAATCATTTAGGTTTGTAAGTAGTGAATTATCTAATGGTTGAAAAAACTGTCGATTTCCTATTTAATTTCACTGTGAGAGCAGTTTTTTTCACTGAATTAGTTTTTTTTTTTTTTTTTTTTTTTTTTAGTTTTCAACAAATTATATTGAAATCTTGGTATAGCGAAATGAGGAAAGATTTATCCAATTCACGCTAAAATTCAGTGCCAAAGTTTTGCACATCAAACATTTTGATGTATCATTTACCAGTGATATAAATATTTCGTTGTTTGATAGAAGCGTGCTCGAGAATGCCGTGTTTTAAAAACGTGATTGATTTGTACATAAATCTTGATATGTAAGACCAAAAACTTAATATTATTTTGTTCGTTGGCGGACGAATCGAGAAAGAAAAAATTCTTAGTGCAAAATTAACGTCTTACCGATTTGGATGCTTTTAGAAAAGAAAGGAAAGAAAAAAACGAACGCAATTAACTTCTCTTTTTTTTTATACTTTACCTTTATTACTGCGATTGTTTATTTTTAATTTAAACGAGTGAAACCTGACTCTGTAGTGAGATCGTATTTTACCTATGTAATAATAGTCAGCCCTCGCCTCTTACAGTCATTCGATTCCCAAAATAATAGCGGCGAAATCTTTGTAACATAAACACTGTATGTAAAATTCGAAAATAATACATTACTCAAAAGAAGTCCAAGCAAATTTGTCATGCTCATTTCAACGAAACCTATACGCAAACGTGTGCCCGCACTTACTTCCGGCAGTGTATTGACGATCTCCTTGAATTTTTCCTCGCTCTCCTGTTGTAATATTTCTCTCGCGAGACCCGTTGTTGCGTATCCAAACATCATCATTTTCAATTGATCTCGGGCTCTTGTCGCGAGAGTCACCGATTCGTCATCTTTTAACAAAATTTTCGCACTGATAATAATTTTCGTTACAAAAAGCTCAAGTAGAAATAAAACCTTTACCATCAATCCCGAGTAAAATTCTAAGTAGAAAATCTTTCTTCAAACTACATACGCTTTTACATTCGGATTTGTAAAAACTCGCGAGAAAGCAGAAAATCTCCCTCAATTTTTTTTCAGTCACTCCATAGGTCGGCCGGTGATTAACGTACAGTTTAAAAAAATCCTTGAAATCGACTTTCTTTACCATCTTGCCGGCTTTATCGTGGTTAAGGAGATTAGCTTCGGTCATTAAATTCTTCACCTGCAAAGGGAAAGCAAACACGTGAAATAATGTTTCTTTCAATCTTGGTAGTGTACATTGCAAATGAAAATACTTCGTTTTTCGACGGGTAAAATCCAACGGCTCTCATGAGATTTGGTAAATAATCCGTGGGCACGTAACCATCAAGATTCCGTGGGCCCATGGTGTTTTTTTCTTTCTTCAATTGCGAGTAAACAAAAACCTTTTGCAACTCCTCGAAAAGAAAACCGTCTTTTCCGCCGCTGATAAGTTCGTAGTACGGCGTTAACTCGGTACCCCCAAGTTCATGCATAACGTGCACAGAGCTGAGAAAAGTTGCATCATCAATTCTCCCTAATAATTGTACACATACTGTTTTTTCTTAATTCAACAAAAGTTTTGTACACTCGAAATGTAAGTATCGAAGCGTAGGTTTATTTCAACAGCGATTCTCGGCATGGGGGCTCGTCTCTCACACATATACCTATGTATGTTTCTACTAATATCACACATGCACCCCAGCTGTGCTTTTGCTTATTATACGTATACACAATTGCATTACGCTTGTACAAAAGGGTTTCGTCTCTCGCACGCGTATAGGTATAACTTATCGTATTGCGTGGAAAAGGATCTTACTTGAAATTGATTTTCCATTTGAGAATACACAAATCGCCACAGCCAACAGTCAAGAGGTACTTGTTGCAATGGCTAACGCACATCCACGAAATCTACAATGTGAATAATCACAGCGTTGGTGAGGTAAGCGAAGCAAAAAAGAAAAAAAAAACAAAATTCAAGAGGTGCGTGAGGTGATGCCTTTCCGGGATGCGCAAACACCGATACCACTCTATGCGGGTTTCCGTCTACGGGCAGCAATTGAAGGCCAATTTCTTTATTCGTGGCGAATATCATGTAAGCCGAACTATCGGGGGTCAGTGAACGGTTCACCTGTTGTACAAGAGTAAAATTTTAGTCGCGAAACAAAAAAAAAAAAAAAAACAGTTCAGCTTTCCGACGATCGTTACCATCATTCTTTTGATGGGAGTTTCGAAAATTGGTCCCAAATACGTGGCCTGCACAGTTTGGTTCGTGGCGCCGAATAACTTGAATTTACACTAAAATCGCAATAACGATATTATTATCGTTATTAAAATTGCCATTACTATCGATTAATCGTTTCTTAGCGGGTATTACGTCGGAGTTCGAAGTAAGGAAAAATTCTTCGCCGCCGAAACGCGGGTACCAGGCCACGCATCGCGGAACATACTCATCCTGTTTGACGATCGTTTTCGTGACCACCAATCCTCGATTCGGATAGGGACCACTGAAACAATTGGTATTATACACGCACGATTGGTACCTTTTTTTTTTTTTTTTTTTCTACAGCACAAACCTCGCGGGCAAGTTGTACTCAACCAAATCCCCTTTGCTGCCAAACGTCAGTAGACGAGGGTTGTTCTTGGACGGGCCGAACAGAACATGGAGTACGCGATCATCGTGGGATTGAAGCTTTCCCAGGAATGAAAAGTAATTGTTCGTGCGGGCTATGAATTTGGCGTTACGCTTGAAAATGGCGATTTTTCCGCTGTCGTCGCCATGAGCCATGTAGTCGAAGCACTCTGAGAACGCGATGATCGATATCGTTCCATTCGTGTGCTTGTAAGGGATCAGATCTATGGGATCCAGTATATTGGGGTCCAGTACCCAAAAACTTCCGTTTTCCAGGGGGTTTTGGTAGTTTTCGATGGCGCATATTAAAACGTCCCCTGTACGTGGAGATCGGTAAATTACAAACGATAGGCGCATTTTTGATCTACAAATGCAACAAAAAAGTAACCTGTGGGCGAGTATTTAAGAATCGAGGCGTGCGAGGCCAGGCCGTCGCCCACCATAGGCTTAACCGTAGGGATTTCGGTAACGGACGTGTGATTGAAAGTTTTTTTTTCCAGCTCCTGTTTGTAAATTTCGTGTAGGTTTACGGCGGCAGGAATTTTTGTTCTCAACGTCACTGTTCCATTGTTGTAGTTCAACAGGTAAATCGTTCTTTTTTTATCTGCCGCGACGACGTAGTCTCTAAACGAATACGTACATTTTTCTTTTATCTATTTGGCAGTACTTTCGGATAATTTATCGATGGAACCTTCGAGGATCCGCATCCATGGCAGTGAGTGTCGAATGGAAACAGTCTTGAATGAAACAGTATCCTTTTCCTGGTTGCATATTCATCCGCACGATTTTCTCATCCGCCGTGGCTGGAAATAAACAGAACGCATGGTTTACAATCAAGCGTTTAAAAGTGCGACAGATATCTCGAAATTGTGAGGGAATGGGAATTACCTACGATGAACTCGTCAACCACGGGAATATAATGTACGCTGGCCATTTCTATGTGTTTGCCTAACACGAATTTTTCAAAAACAAAATTTTGTCTGGATATCACGGGAATCGGCGCATTTTTCATGTCTGCAAATCGAAAAAAGGAGTTTCATGAGACGTGGAAAGTTTTTTTTTTTAATTTAATTTTAAATACACCATGGGCACCTTCTTTATCGAAAGAAATCGAGATAACAGCACCCAATCCCAAGTTGTAGATATGGAGTAACGATATTAAATTGTCATCGTAAAAGTTTATCAAACCGCGTGAGTTTCCTGTAACTATAAAACTGCAATTTTCCTATTACATACTTCCAAGATTAAGAGGAAAAAAAAACATTCGGTCAGCATCGTGGAATATATGCAAAAAAAATAACCCTTTGTTCGACACGATTCTCGTGATCTCTGCATTTTGCAAAAAGGGAGTCTGCACGTTCCGCATTCCGCAGTCCACGGATGTGCGATCCCAGACCAATACGTACCCTTTGCAAACGAAATTATTATATCCACGTGAGCAAACTAGAAGCTTATTAAAAAAAAAAAAAAAAAAAATACTAGGATATTTCAAACCATCGGCAGTTCCCGTGAAAGCTTTCGTTGACACGGACGAGTACGTGGTGTTGTACAAGCGCAACCATTTTGTCTGCCGGCATATTTTCGCTACTAAAGGTCGCTCGACGTTCAACCTGAAGTGTTGAAACTATGAAGAGAACAAGAAACACATCAATGGTTTTTACACCCAAAAAAAAGACGAAAACGGTGAATTTTGTAATTACATCGTAGACGCAAAATATGACGAACCGATCCGACGTAAGGGCGAAAACATTCGGGTACCATTTACTGAAGCACACGTCGTTCACCCGCGCGTAGCTCGTGTCCGGCAACTCCCTACAAACTAAACTTACCTACTTTATTGTATATATATATATATATATATATATAGTATACGTATGTTTGTGCGTGTACTTGTTTACCTTTGAGCAGCTGTCCCGGACTTCCGGGTTCCCATATTTTGAGAAATTGAACGGGCTCGTTTCCAACTGTGACTATGTACCTGGAGTCGGGGCTCAGCGACGCGGCCATCAATCTTTCGTCCCCGTGCGGTCGAAATACGTTGAAAATAACGGACCTGTGGACGCGCGTGTGTGCAACAACGCAATCAATAGTTAATTAAAACTCACAAAGTAGGTAAGTATGGGTGTACCACCTCGTTTCAACGTCCCAAACGTTGACGTTGGGCTCGATGCCGAAATCCGCCGTCAAAAGCCGTTGGCCGTAAAAGTCGCACGACAGAGTTCGCACGCAGTCGAACTGAACGCAAATAAACGAATAGTTGTTGCATTATTTCCAGCGTTGCGACGGATCAATGGGTATATGATTATCAACGACGAACGTGGCCCTTGAGATAAAACTGATGTTGGTAATGTACGGGGTCGTAGTAGTTGAGCGTCACCACGTGGGAGCACGCGTACGCGACGAGGCTTCGGCTGGGCGTGCTCAAGTTCACCAGTGGTAGATTTGAATTCATGCCAAACACCAACTCCAGAGTCTACACGATTTATTATTATTGATCGTTGCGAGTTTTTCAAAGAGACGAACAAAATGATGGATATGTTATTTGGGTACCGACGTAAGGTATTGTCGAATTCTGGTCGTTATCGCGTCTTTCCATTTTTTTTCAAATCAACGAGAGTCATTGCGAATTACATTTTTAACACACGTGTGTACTGGCAATTTCTTTGCGATTTTATGGCTTGTATTGACACGCATCGTAGGGAAAAAAAATAACGACAAACTATTTTGAATAAACAACTTCATGGCTTTGAGATCATTGTTTATCGATGCTCTCTTGAAATTCGAATTTAAAGATTTAAGGATGCGCTGACATGTGAAATAATTGGAATTTTTTTTTACACCAAGGTTGAGTGACTGAACCACTAAAGGTGAAGAAAAAAAAACGCTTATGTAATAAATATTCTGCGAGATATTCTGGACGAAAATAATTGATCATTTAATGAATGAATAAGAATTTTTACAACTAATCAACTTCTATATACACATAAATACATTGTACGACTTTAGAAATTTGTGCTAATCGTCTGTCTTTAAAGTCAATTTTCATGTGCCAAAAACTAGTAAAAAAATGTTGACGTACTTAAACAAAAAAAATTCAAAACGTTTTTTTCAAACATCATCTGTTTTAAGTAAACGATCTATTTATTTTTTGGATGAAATTGAAGTATTGCTTTGTAAAAATTTTCAGTTTCATTTTTTAATCTTGTGCTGGCAACGACATGCAAATCTTTTTTGCGCTACCAGTATGTATAGCATTAATATAAAGTTTAGTTGTAAGAAAATCTTCGTAAAAATAATCAAATTACTACTTGTTTTACGCACTATACTCCGAAGGAATTGCGTTATTGGTAACAAATTAATTAGGTATATCTGTTTAGATGTTTTCGAAATTTCAACTTTCGTGAGGCATGTACTTATGACGGATTATACTCAAGAAATTCTGTTTTTATCAAGTCATTAACTGAAGAATTCGGAAGAATTGTAACTCGCCTTCAATTTGAAATTATAACATTCGTTGGAAAAGACAGTCACCATGTTAACATTTTTTCACACATACAATGATATTATATACATACATGTATGAAGTCTACATATATATACATGTATTTATTATTACATACATCGAAAAAATGTTGATTTGGTGTCTGTTTTCTTCAAGAGCGCAAGTTCTTTCCAGTTAACGACTTGATAAAAATGAAATTTTCCGAGTATAATGCACCATGCATGACTAACTCACGAAAGTCCAAATTTCGAGAATATCTAAATGGACACATACCTTATCTATTATTGACACGTGTCGCTTCGAAAATTTCACTTATCTTCAATTAGACGATGATGACTTGTTGTACTGGGATACTTTGTTTATCGAGTCGTTGACCATAAAAAAGTCGAAATTAGGTTTCTATTCAAAATTATAACTTTTCTTTAAAAAACATCCATTTTAAAAAAATTTGTAGTACTAAAAATTAAATCGCCAGTAAAAGTGAAAAATCGCAATTTTGAGGATAAATTACCGCACCTGGTTATTCTAAAGCACCGATGCATCATTTACATATCAAGGAAACAATAAGCGTCTTTTTTTCTGTTTTATTGGCTTTAAAAGTCATTTAGGCAGCCATAGCTGTTTGTTTAAATAAAATAAACAATTATCCGCTCTTGCTACGCTTAATGCCATTAGCTTATCAGAAGCCCTCGTACTATGAATTACAATTAGTACATACTAAAGTACATATAGTTTCTCTTTTTCTTTTGGCTTAAGTATCTTGGCTTACGGATTCGGCTCTCCTTTAACATCCAATTCCCCCTCCCGTTGACTAATAATCGGCTTGGGCGGTCTGCGCTTGAGCCAATCACAGAGCTAGACTAAAAAGAAAGTGGCCAATCACGGAGCTGGACTAAAGATAAAGTGGCCAATCACGGAGCTGGACTAAAGAGAAAGTGGCCAATCACGGAGCTGTGATTGGCTGATTATTCAGTCCTCCGCATGCGGCGGTTGACCCGCTGCGGCGGTTATGGAAATCCATCAGGTAGGGGTACTTTTGGAGTAGCAGTGCCTATAAATACGCAATCAGGGCACGGTTTGAGCAGTAGATCTTTGAATTTCAAAGCATCTCAAGCTCTGGAGTAGCTAGTATACTTCGTAGCCTAGAGTAGGTATAGCCTTCCAAGCGAAGCCATCTCGTTGATTCGTTGAGCCGTTCCGACTGTTTTGGCGGTAATCCTTTCGAAAGTGCATTTCGATTGTTCATCGTAGTGAAAACTCTGTTATTTTCAAAAAAGTACGTAAACAGTATACGTTTGGTTTCCCTGTACTTCGGTAAACTTTTGCCGAGGCACGCGTATCTTGTGGCAATTTGTTTATTCAAGTTGTTGGATGTTTGCTTTACTTTTTTTGCTTATGTTGTTTCCAGTGCCGTCGAAAAGAAAAGTGACCAACAACTCCAACAAGCGAAAATCTCCGGATTCGCAAGACAACGCGGCCATGCCCTTGAAACGGGCAAAAACCTCCAGAAAGAAGCCTGAAGTATTCCCAAATGAAGGTATGTGGTTGTTCGTTTTGCAAATTTCCAAGCACATCTTTCTCTGGTTCAACGGGGATGCGGTCTTCCGTGTTTCCACACAGCTTTCTATGTTTGAATTAATCGACGACGCGCAAGAATTTAGTGTTCTCCATTTAATGGTAATTTACATTTTTTAGTGCCGCTAAAAATAGAAGTTACCAACAATTCCAACAAGCGCAAATCTCCAGATTCGCAAGACAACGCGGCTGTGCCCTTGAAACGGGCTAAAACTTCCAGAAAGATGCCAAAAGTACTCCAGAATAATGGTATGCACTTAACTGTTTGATTTACAAATGTCTAGTATCCCTGAACGTTGCAAAAACTTTTTGTGGTATAATCATAATGTGGGTACAGTCTTCCGTGTTTCCACATTGATGACATGTGTACAAAAATCTAGTGTTCCCCATTTAATGACAAGTAACGATTTTCAGATCCCAAAGTTAAAGAGATTCTACGTCAAGTGACCACGAGTGGTATTATTCTTACTTGCGGTCAAGGAGACACAGGCCAACTTGGCTTGGGTGACGATATACTGGAAAAAACACGGTTTGCTCAAGTGCCAAACTTTACAAAGATCGTGGCCATCGCAGGAAGTGGCATGCACAATGTGTGCCTCACCGATGAAGGTAAAGTAATCACCTTTGGATGTAATGATGAGGGAGCTCTCGGTAGAGATACGATCGAGGGCGGTGAAGCTACTCCTGGACTCGTGGATTTACCTGGACGTGCGATCCAGGTGACGGCAGGAGACTCACATAGTGCCGCGTTAATGGAGGATGGAAGAGTTTTCGTTTGGGGATCTTTTCGGGTAAGAAATCAATTTCCTTCATATTCAACAACATGTATTATGATTATTTGTTTGTGGTTTGCTAAAGTTGTATCAATTTTTAGGATTCACATGGAACACTTGGACTGTTGACTAAAAACAAAGAAAGTACTCCAGTACAAATTCTACGTAACCAAAAGTTTATTAAAATTGCTTCTGGGTCCGACCACTTGGTTTTACTAGATAATACCAGGAAAGTTTTTACTTGTGGTTGCGGTGAGCAGGGCCAACTTGGACGGTTACCTGAACGCAAAACAGATAGAAACAGTGGTCGAGGTGGTAATAAATTACTCACACCTGATCAAGTATATTTCAAAATAAGCAAAAAAATAGAAATTGAAAATATATGGGCTGGTAGCTATGCTACCTTTGCCAAAGACGCAAATACGGATGATCTGTATGTTTTTGGCTTAAATAACTATGGTCAAATTGGTATGTTAAATTTTGTGTGGATTTTTAAAATTAAATTTCAATCTTATTTCAATTTTTAATTTTGTATTTAATTGCAGGTCTTAAAAATTGCGACAAATCTTTTCACCCTAAAGTGTCAGATACCTTAAGTCGACGTAAATGGATTCAAATTAGCTCTGGACAGCATCACACGATTGCTCTGGACGAAAAAGGGCAAGTTTACGTTTTGGGAAGGAAAGAGTATGGGAGACTAGGTCTTGGCATTGTGAGTGAAGACGCCACGGAACTCGTTGTTGTACCCAAACTAAGTAATACCAAATGCATAGATGTTGCAGCTGGTACTGCTCAGTCTTTTGCTGTAACAGAAAATGGTAAATACTTCAACCTCTTCACAAGATATCAAGTAAAAATTAATGTTTTTACTTATAATCTGGAAAATTTTATTACAGGAAAACTTTACGCCTGGGGAATGGGCTCTGAAGGCCAGCTTGGTACTGGAGAAGAAGATGATGTATTAGAACCCAGAGTCATTGAATCCAAATATGTGAAAGATCTTGAAGTTCTTCGAGTTTCAGCTGGAGGACAGCATACCATTATTCTTGCAAAAAAAATCAATGAGTAATTTTTTTTTATCATTTAAAACTAGAATATAGATGTATATTTTAGTCAGTTTTTTCTCTAAATTAATTCTACTGTACTTCAATACTTATTTACTATTTACTAATGCGTAATTGGTGTAATCAAAATCAAATGTCAGATCAATCATTCAAGTATGTAATATAGTTTTGATACACGTCAGCGCGATAGCATTATTTAAATTTAAGATTCTTAAATATTATTTTTTAACTTCGGAGCAGTACAAGAACTACTCTATTCCTAAACCTTTAGATTTTAGTTTTTGCATGATTTGGTTGGGCGATGAAAGTACACAAAAATAATTGTATGGATGTAAAAACATTTTAATGAACTTGTTACAATTTAGATTGTATGATTTTTACAACAGTTATTATTTTGTTTATTGTTAGATGTATTGTATCTTAAGTGCCGGATATTTTTCGACTATTTTACCAGTCTCGTTTTTTTTTTTTTTCTGTATACACCATAATTTATGCTCTTACATAAGTTAATGAAAATATGTACATTGATTATAGTACCTAATTATATTTCTAAGGATTTTGTGTCACTTTCACAGCTGTTAAGACGTTAATGTTAATCCGTGCCTTATGATGTGAAAAATCCACTTCGTGTCAAATAATATTTTTTAATAAATTTTTTTTGTATATTTTACTAAAGAGCTATTGCTATATTACATGAAATGTCACCTAAATAACCCAAACTATTCCATAATCTTCGAAAAATGTTTCACTATACTTACAATGACGCTGACATTTTGTACGAATTGACAATTATTGACTAATATAATTGTAGGCATCTACAAACAACTAAGTACTCAACTTTTAACTTGAAACAAAAAATGAACGGTTACTTGCGTTAACTTCTGGACTCTTCATTAAAGCACAAAAATTTATCCATAGTTTTTAAATTATATTCTCAAGTTACGTAAATTAAAAATAAAGTTTAATTTATAAGGTAGGTATGTTTTTTAACAAAAGTCAAATGACCATGCAAATGGATAACAATTTCACATAACAGTAGAGTAGATGTATGTTGCATCTGCAAGTGTAAAAAAAAAATGTATTTAATTAAAATTATTTTTTTTTTAAATGGAATCCTGAGACTTCTTCCTCTACGCCTTATAGACAGGAAGTAGCGGCTCATTTTATCGGCAGCGCAGCGAGTGTTTTATCACCAGCCACGAGTCGTACTTATAAATAATCATCCGTCTGCATACGCTTTGTACAATGTATCCTACTTGCAACGATTAGCGTTTTATTTTGTTTTATTTTTTGTATCACATTGCGGTACTTTTTCGTATATTCCCCATCCCAAAAATCATGTTTTTTTGGCATAAAATAATTTCTTGTATATAGTTATGCCTATGCTGTAAAAAAATATTTTATCGCGTAAAGGATCATAAGGGTCGAAAACCCCTTATTTTTATCACGCAGAGACTTGTCCTGATTTTTGAACAATGCTTTACATATAGCTATTATCTGTTATATGTATTTAGCACATTTAACTCCAAAAAAGAAATTATATTGCAGGTCGTATCGTCGTATGTCATACCAGCATATCATATATAGGTACCTATTCTTCGTCTACTGCGGCATTATAATTGTACACGCACACAAGAGAGAAGAAAGGAAGGAAGGAGACGGGAGAAAAAAGAGGGGTGCCCAGTGCCCATCGCCGTCGCCCTCTTTCGAAACATCGCAACTCGCAATTTGGGAATACCTACTTACTTGGGACTCTTGGGAGTACTTGCTCAGTTGATCATACATACTTGCGAGAGTAGCATCATCATATTACATATGTGTGTATACACCACTAAACTTGGGCGGCACGTATACCTTTGCAGTTTGACTGCAGTGCAGTGCGCGAGAGCTGTGTGTTTTTGTAATTTTTGTTACGCTTGTAATGATAATACATCATATGACCTGAAGTGACGATAAAGTGCTCAGAAGTGCATGTAGCCGCGATCATTCATTGTTTTTAATAGGGAGTCAGTTATTATTTCTTTTCGAATGTTTTTACCTTCTAAATAAACCTCCGTGGAATCCGTGGATGATATAATATATATACACATATATATTATACGTATATACAACTACCTATACAAGATTTTTGGAGCAGAGGAGCGTCAAACAATAAACGCCACCAACATACACACATAAAAGGGCTCACTGTAAGCTCAGTAAGTGTATATTGAATATATGCTTGCTTTTATGTGTATATTGTACCTATATAAAATCATAATTTTGTTGAAGACGTTAAAGGGGTAAGTTAGGAGAAGAGAGCAAGCTTTTGGCTGCGTGTGTGTTATCTCTTTTCTCGTGTGCGTGTGTGCGTTCGTGTTATTGGGGCTGTTGTTATGGTGCCTTTTATAAACAAACACGAATCAAGAACCCAAACAAACCGACAGATATGTCTCTAATTTTGCGCGACCGGGTCGGGGGGGGGGGGTGCGTTATTAGTTATTATATGTAATTTGACATAACACACACACACACGCACGCGCCCACACAGAGAACAAGGTGTTCAAGCGTAAAAGCAGAGAAGAGAAAAGCAAAAAAGCACGATTCTGGTAGACTGGTAATCTCGCATATGTATGCATGTACAACTAAATCTATATACCTATATAATACAACACTTCTTAGTCGACTACCAATTACATTATTACATGTAGGTATATTGACAGGTATATAAATATAGTACATAGGCATACCTACTACTACTGAATTACAGATTCGTGCAACTGATGTGCAAGTCTATCGCGAGTGTGTCACACATTTACATTTTGCGAGTTTCTCCCCTTTCATCCCCTGTCGCACTGCTGCTCTGTAAATATTTATATATTAATTATATTATGATGTGCTAATAATTTTTAATGCGGGACGTTTTTTTACACGCGCGTCCTTTCGTCTTATTTAAATAATACAACCACAATATACATGTATATATATATATAGCGACTGCAAGAAAAGCTCGACTTGACAACAATAGGTTTTTACTATACCATTTCTGTAAATGTTTTGAGTATATACACACGTGTTGATCTAATATGTACGTGTATTTTATTCGCAGACAAGTTGGCTGAACGAGCTTTGGCATCATCATCACCATGACTGTCATAACGAAGGCGATTAGCGAAAAAAAGTCCGGGGACAAATTGGATCAGCCATTGGTCGTCCCCGTAGCCCAGAGCCAGGGCGTAAGTATATGTATATACACAATATACATGACACGCCTGTGACTTGTGATCTGTCTTTACTTATTTATTTTGTTTACATATCAACTACATGCCTGATGGACTGTATACGAATACCTCAAACGCTCATTCATTTTCTTTTTTAAGTGCTAGTCTAGAATGTCCAGATGAGCTTTTTTCACGCGCACACACTATAGCTCTGTGCATGTTACACACACCGATAAGTCAAATCGATCCCCAATCCCCATGTTTATTATTCTACATACTTATATTAGCTTTACGCTTCTTATCTTGCGAACTATGATGTGATGGTCTATATTATAATATACCTGTATATAAACACGTACACATTTATGTGTGTGTTGCTGAAAAGCTGACGTTGTTTGCTAATTAGAGGTGTCTTTTATCACAATATGCGGCATGTTTAATGTGCCATTTTGTTTTTACACGTGTGTGTATATTGTGTAAGGTATAAAGCATATTCTGTTTTAAAAAAACTCGGAGTACAGAGTATGTGGAAAAAAAAAAAATTATACTCGACTCTGCACGTTGAAGAACTGCAGATATCGCTTTTTAATAATATCTCCGCTGACCAATGCATTCTTTTGTTGTTATACTTACTCGCTGTGACCATAAACTACTTGAAAATTTATCGTACAATTCGGCTAGAATTTCAAACATCCAACGTGTTTTGCCCATATGCTCTTTGTACTTTTTCACTTCTTTTGTGTTGTATAACGAAACATTGCGCGACAATTTTAGTGCATGCAATATGTACAATGACAGATGCACCAACGTGCATACAATGTTAAAACATGCTCCGGTTTTCCCGAATTCAACCTTCTCCCTGAACTTTGATGAATATTTACAAGCTTGCAATCAATAAATTATACTTTGCGAAAAACTGGAAAAATTGGCTCTCCATGTAGAATTTTTTGGCCGCAGTGAGACGCGTTTTCAGAATTGATTTCTTTTTGGTTTTTTCAACGCGGGAAGCATATATATAATACATTTTTCACGACTAAGTATCGTTCGCGATGATAAAAGATCAGCCGATGCAATGTTCTTTGCAAGAAAAGGCGAGGGAAAAAACGAGACCAACAGATACATACATATAGATTGTAATAATTGCGGAGTTAAACAACATAATGACCAAGATTTTTCCGGAAAAAGATGTAATACTTTGTTTTTCCAGTTTCGCTTTCGTGTGTTGCCAAGAAGCGTAATTAGATACCTTACATCTTATCCTTGACGACTCTGGACGTGACATAAGCACATGTGATCACGTAAAAACAGTTGCCTGTACAATACTTCAAACACTAATATTGCCTGAAATTTTTAGTACCAAACATTATGTGCAAAAATTCTGAACGCCTTGGGAGCAGTAATATGAATATGAGATAACATTGAATGATCGTATTTGATTCGAAGGAGGACGCAGCTGCCGATCCCGAGTCCCAGTACCCGAAAAGCGACTACGTGATAAGGAAGCGTTTTCTCATAATCGGCAGCAATCGTTTGTCCAATGGCGTAACGACTTACTGCCTGTTCTTGACCGGCTTGCTGGTGATGCTGATCGGCGTTTTTGGTGGCCTCTGCATTTACAAGCTCTACACTCGCGAGCAGATGCACAAGTATCGCACCGGCTGGTACACCATTCCGTACGATCAGTCCTTCAGGATGAAGGAGCTCAGGCAGAACCTCCTCTCCGATCCCGATCTCCTCAAGGAGTACGTCAAGGCCAAGGAGCCGCTGTCCATGAAACTGCAGGGCGCACTCTTGGCCAAAGACGACAATTACTTGCAAGAGCGCTTTGAGATCGACCTCGACGACGGCTACGAGGACATTTACGTACCGGACTTCCGGGGCGGTAGACAGGGCCGCTTCATACACGATTTCAGCACTGTAATGCCATCCTTATAATCATTTCATTCAACCGATCTTTTATTTTCATCAGCATCGATGTACTTTACTTTTCTTGTAGAATAAAACTGGAATTATCGATGTGGAAGGCCAGTGCTGCTTTGTTATGCCGTTGAATCGCCAAAGAGTCTTACCGCCGCGCGACATTTTGGATCTTTTGAAGAAAATGCGCAACGGTAACGTATCATAAATGCTTTCAACTTATTAATAGAGAAAAATTGAAATAATAACCATTACGTCCCCCCACGGTGAAAAGGATACTACGAGGTGGACACCGAAGTTGTTAGAGAAACCATGAAAATCATTTTCCCACCAGTTACCGATTACGTCTCCGTTGGACCGTACATAGCTCGTGAATGTCAAGATATGCCCACTTATTTATTGCAACCAGTTAACGAAAAAGGTAATTTATTTTACACGTTGTTTATCCAGCTTATAAGTTGATATTTTTTTCGGTTTCATGATAAACCTTTCATGATTATTTTCAGTACGCAAGCGCAGTGCATCTGACGAGGTCTACTGTCAATTCGCTGGAAAAAACATCATACAATTTGACATCGTCAACTTAGCATCTGTTCTTAATAAGAAAAATTAATGTTTAATTATATCGCGTACGTACGAGTAAGAAAGAAAGAATTGGCGTATTGATATAATCCAGTGATAGTTGCATGTCATTTGTTGCGTATAATTCTTCCATTTCTGGCCGTAGACAAAAGAAATCAACTCGCGTACGATCGGGCTGAATGTAACTGCGTAAAAATTTGGAATTTTTTTTTTTTTTTTTTTTGAAAAACCATTAATTTGTGTGATTTGAGATGCAATTGATTGATCTTGTGATTGATGTGCGGTGTGGTTGATCAAAGTATTAAAATATTTGAAAAATAAGCAAAGAGCTTCAACGCCTTTGTATAAAGGCACGACTGCTGCGTTTATCACCAAAGCAAAAGTGTAAGTAGTTGGTAATTACATAAAGTTGTTGATTCTTTGTACATTTTTAGTAATAACGATAAATTGATATTACATTTTTTGTTTTTTACTTTTAGTCAATTTATAGGTTTTTATTCATTTATAGGTCATGCAGAAAATTCTACCTTGTGAAAAAAAAAAAAAAAAATTCTCAAAAGTCGAACCTGAGAAAACGAGATATCTACAAATTTTTACGTAGGCAGTAAAATTTATTGTTTTTTACGTGTTACTCTTTTTACCGTGTGGTGACAATATAAGGCATACCTGTCGAGCAGTTGTGCTTACTTGTGTGAAGCAGTCGTGCCTAAAAATATTCCTACATTTACGAATGTTTCGACAAATTCTACCGTGCAAGGCGATTCATCGATGCAATTATCAATTTTATGTTCCCCTATGCCAAAGCGTGATGTTTCTACAAATACTTGCAAAAACTTCATGACTCAAAAGAAGTTAATTTCCTATCAAGCATCCAACTTACTTGAAATTTCTGTTAGCCATTAATACAATTTTACTTTTCAAGCGTGTATATGTTATTTAAACTTTACGTGAATTGTTTTCAAACGTTATTACGATTGAGCAGTGATATTTGATTGAGTAATTATTTTAAAAAATCGTATGCATAATTTTTTACAAGTAATAATTTTAACTTGCATCAGTTGGATACTTGATGTTATTTATAAGAGCAAAGAGTAAGATATAAGTCGAATTTAAATAGTTGTAGTTTATACGTTTGCCGATTAGAATCTTTAAAAATCACAATGTTTATAGAATTCAATTACATGTAATACGACGTTTGAATGATGGAATGAAAATTGTAAGTTCTTATACAAGAAATAAATAAAAGTTGAAAATAACGATTCGTCTTGTTTGGAAATTGATCCATAAAATTTACATCTACCTATTTCGCAGTTAAACTGTATCCGACTATTATGAGTGATTCAATTCATGTGATGCTTTTTGTCTCCATAAATACAGCTTTTTGATCCACTTTTCATTTTTTATTTCCTTATCCATCATAATCTGAAAAATTTATTGATGAAAATCAACATATTATTTACAAAACTAAACATGCAACGCTTTTTGTTATAAATTTTAATAAATACCGATGTATGAAATATACTCTCTGAAACGTTTGGTGTGCTATTGAGTTGTGGGACGTGTATGGTATCAGCATCTATATCTATCACAATTTTTTTCATTTTGGGCTCTTTATTTTTGGCAGAAGAGACAAACTGCTTTGGTACGAATTCATCCTTGTTGATATCATCCAATACTGATGATTTGATTTTTGAATCGTTTGTTAAAAAATTATCTGTAAACCGTAAAACGAGTTATTAATCGGCAGAAAATAATAGTCGTGTATTATTTACAAACCTCTTGAGTTGCTACTGCTAGGCTTGTCATTACTAAGAACCTTGACATTCGATTGGGAGCTGCTAGATCTGCTCGTGGATTTTTCTCTGGAGTTTGACCTCTTACTCGATCTGTTTCGATCTTCAGATAAAGACCTCGACCTCCGGTGTCTTCTTCTGTCTCTTGAACTGCCTCTTGTGTGCTTACTCGAGTAACTTTTTCCCGGCCTGTCTCTACTTTTGGAGCGCGATCTGTGTCGCCTTCTTGATTTTGAATACCTTCGTCGCCTCGAGTACGAAGACACACTGTCGCTCGAATCCTCAGAACTGCAAAAGTACCATCAAGTTTCTTTGTGAATAACTTTTGGCTGCGTTTAATCATTAAAATTTAGACATATTATGGCAATGTATGTCATTTAAAATTTAACCTCTAAATCCAAGTGAACGAAAATAAATTAAAACTCGCTGAAATACCAATTATCTCAAGTGTTGAGGCACATAAATATGTATTGTGTTAGTTTTTGTCACACTTTTGCAGTATAAAATAAACAGTTTCTGTAAAAAAACTTGTTACAAACGAATGTTTACACTACCTTGATCTCCTCGAATGTTTTCGACGATATTTACTACTGTTCCGATCGGAATCGGAGTCTGACGAATATTTTGCCATGATTGTTACGGTTGAAATAAAAAAACAAACCACACCGATCTTCGGTGTTTGAATAAAACCACTTGAAAACAAAAACACAAAATTAGCAGAGAGAAAAGTATGTCACTTTTGTCAGCACTTGGCAGATCTTGTCGATTATCTGGATGATATATATATATAGTATATGTATACTCTGTAGTTCGATAATCGAACCCTCGAACGCAAGTTCGATTCACACATCGCAAAAGCTGTCGAGTCGAGCTTTCGAACATAATTTAACAAACAAAACAAATGCTAAGTATTGTGTTGTTGATTTTTTTTACGTGTAATTTCAATAACAAACGTTTTCTATAACTGCATTTTAACTGTAGTGAAATGAGTAAGGAAGAGTCGCCATTATTAACTTTTTAAATAGTATTTGTGAAAAAATAGCGAAGCGTATCAATAAAAAACAAAAGATATGTACAAGACAAATTTTAATACTGCAGTACAGTAAAAAAAAAAAAAAAAAAAAAAGTAAGCGTTATCCAATGTACAGTTACGTATAAATTGAAAATACTGTGCCAGAGTGAAGCTTTAAAAAAAAAAAATAAAAAAAAATAAAAATTCCTGCTATTAAACACCTTTTACCAAGGAACTTTACCGCACTCACCGCAGTACTGAAAAATCATGTAAAATTATAATGTTTAACCTTACCTTAACCTACACACATTGAAAAATCTCGAATATCAAACGTGTGTGTATTCTGTGTTGTTCTTATTTTTTTTCTAGCTCACGCAGACTCGTACATGTCGTATATGTTATAATATTAGAGCACCACATAGCAACGGGTGCAAATTGCAGTTGGTGTCTGGCTGCAGTGGCACGTGTATATATATAATACATACGTACAACATAACAAAAAGGGAGACGGGCTGCGTACGCAGCGAGGCCCGTATAAATTGATCGGCGCTTTTAAGCTTGTCGAGCTTGCACAGCTTTCAGTCGAGCCCCAACGGCTCGCATCGTCGCGTTCTTCGCGTTGTAAAAACGTGTCAAAACGAGTAATACGATAAAAGGATTCACGCTAATACTTTTTTTTTTTTTTTTTTTTTCAATATTTTAAGGTAACAAGGTTGAGTGTGATTTATTTCATCGTCACGCGAGTTTAATTTGCCATACTGTGGGGCACAATGTCCGGGGGGGGGGTGAGTGCGGCCAATGACACTGTTTTCTTTTTCTCTTCCACACGTGGGCGAGATGATTATATTTCTCGTTCAACCCTTTTAGTTTGGTTTTGAAAATGACGTAGGGTTACCACAATAATTTTTGTTGTTTTTTTTTTTATTTTTTTATCATCAAAGCCATGTCTTAACGAAGGAATGTTGAAAAAGAAAAAAAAAAAAAAACAAAACATCATTATGAGTTCTTATGTTGATTAATTACAATAAAAAATTAATCGCCAAGTTTTTCTCGTAATATATATACATATACACGACGATGATGAAAAGTATGCGAACATTTCGCGACCGGCGGATACCTAGCTAACATCGAGGTCAATCTGCATAACAGATTCAACGGCATCATGATAATGCATGGAGCTTGTAAGCTGTATTATCACCGGATATGGACAAACCCGATGAATTTGCACTTGAATGGACGTTTGGCAGTAAGTATATTCCATAGTTCTCTATTTTATTTTTGATGCAAAATGTGTGCACGTTTTACTATGCTCTTATTATTATTACTTTTGGAGTAAAATTATGCAGCCCCGGTTACTAATTGTCTAAAAACGTATACGTTCAGATTTAAGTATGATTATCACATGGGCGCCTTCAAAACGTAATTATCCCTAAAAGCTGTACATATATTTAACGGCCAATGCCCACGGGGATTCCCCGGAATCGTAATTAAAATTTCGAACGACGAGCTTGTAAAAACCAACTCACGTTGTACTGCCATGCATATAGCGAGAAAAAAAAAAGAAAAAAAAGAAAGTAACCCGTATTACTATATTGTTGTTTGTCCGTGCTTCGACAAGCAAAATGATGTACTTGTATATTATGATGCAGGTAACGCGGGCGTGAAAATTGATCACGACACTGTCGATTGAGTCGTTAAATCGGTCCACCGGCACGACCGCGATGTATATATATATATATACGAGTAATCGAGTAGCTCGAGCGAAACACTTCAAAGAACCCAATCCGAGCAAATTCGATTTCAAGCCTCGGTGCGACCGAGCTGATGGAGCGAAATTGCCGACACCGCGCGAAGCAAAGCTCTTCAGGACAACAGTATAATATCCTTTCCGTGCGGGTTTAAAGCACAACGAGAGGAGCATTAGCCGCGTGTATGTATGACACGGTCAGTGAGCGCGTATAAAATATATCAAAGCCCATTAAATCATCAGACGCGTATACGTGTCTTTACTATTACGGGTGAATAGTGTAATATGTGTATGGGTTATCGCGATGATAAAATGCATTGAGTAATTCATAGGTACAACAACGCAGACATCGGAGGAAAAAACAAAAAAAGGATAGGTATATGGAAATAAGTACCGATTGCAACTATAATTAATAATTATTTATTATATCCGCCGTTTTGTAAGTTTACGAGCTTGTTGGTTGAATCAAGTGTCATTTTTATGCAGATCACGTTCCTTGAAAAAAAAATAATAATAATAACAACAACGAAAATGCGACTCGCACCGGTATAGGGACACGTGCTCAACGTTGCAGATATAATATGTACATGCGTGCAGCATATTATATATTATACATATACACATACATAACATTACAACATGTATATGTAATTTGCACAGACAATTATTGTGACAAGCAGATAATTATATTATATTACATGGTGGTGTCTGTATGTATGCGATATCGTGCGCGCGCACTACTCTTGCTATCACCGCAAGATGCATATATATATGTGTATATATATACATGTATAGCTGCAGATAATATTATGTGTTTTACTTATATTCCCCGAAAAAAGATGTAAAATCGCACGCGTCGTAAAAGCTGCAGATTAAAGCGCTCACAAGCAGTGTATAAATATAATATATGTATGTAGAGTATACACGTGTAGGTCCGAGAAAACTCGATTTCGGATCAACGGAGTATAGTTTGTGAAAAGTGTATAATAAATATGCATTGTATATAAGATTAGATTAGTGCTTTGGCAAACTTTTAGCGTGTATACATGAGCAACGAACGCAGCAGAGACACGATGAGATTAAACAATGTATAATGTGTTTGATAGCGATGGAAAAAAGGAGCTGGAGTTCCAAGTGAACGAGATGACAGGTGAAAAAAAAAAAAAAAAAAAAAAAAAAAAAAAAGTTTCATCTCACGCTCGCTGAAATTATTTGTTTATTAAATTCATGTTTATCTTCCAAAAATCAAGGAGCCATTATTAAAGTATTGGAAATAAATAAACTATTCTTTTTTACTACAGTCCCTGCATCATTAGGCAAACGCGTCGACTATATATATCATCCGCGTACACGGAAAAAAAAGTGTTTACTGTATATGATACGCATGTTATGTACATTTGTTTGATAAAATGTCATGTGTAATTGGCCGATGATGCACGCGATAAGGAAAAAAAAAAAAAAAACAAAAAACAAAAAAAAAAAACGCTTGCGGCTACTTGTCATACTATATACGTCAGTTGTAATACACTTCGGGCCACTGCACCGGTCACGGGGACCCCCGATTTGTTTATTTCCTCTCTCACTCGCCGCATCCCGTTTGTAGATGTTGTGTATTTTGTCTCGCAGCCTTTAGATCGGCGATCGATCGAGAATATACCTACATCCCAAAAGCCCGAAGAAAACTCGCAAATCGGGTGCACTGTGATCGAGCAATTTTTGTTTCAGTCGTCGAAAACCACGGAGCAAGGCCGGAGCGAGGCGACCCGTGAACCGCGAGGTCTATGATCCAAGATGCCGAAGAAGGTGGTGCCGTGCAACCGCGAGCGCGCCAAGGCAATCCTCCGGGTAGGGGAGGACAAGCAGCCGCAGGAGCTACCGGACGGGGACAATGACTCCGGGGTCAAGTTGAAGAAGGAGATCGGCTTGCTCGACGGTGTGGCCATCATCGTCGGGATAATCGTTGGCTCGGGTATATTCGTCTCGCCTAGGGGTGTCCTGGTCAACAGCGGCAGCGTCGGGCTGTCCCTCTTCGTGTGGATCTGCTCGGGTGTCATGTCCCTAGTTGGGGCGCTGTGCTACGCCGAGCTCGGTAAAAGGATATATACATTACATATTTATATACCTGAGAAAAAACAATAATTATATACATCGTACGTATGATTTATTGTCGCAGGTACGATGATCCCGAAATCGGGTGGAGATTACGCGTACATAAGCGACTCGTTCGGCCCGTTGCCGGCGTTCCTCTACCTCTGGGTGGCCCTGTTCGTCCTCGTGCCGACGGGCAACGCCATAACGGCCCTTGCCTTCGCCCAGTACATCCTACAGCCCTTCTGGTTGAACTGCCAGCCGCCCTACGAGGCCATTCGCCTCATCGCCGCTGCCGTCACGTGTACGTATAATCATGTATTTATACTCTCGAAAACTGTAATTTCTTTCTTTTTTACCTTATCCGTATCATTGTCATATACATATACATATATGATATTTATATACTTTCGGTTTTTGCGATATATAATAATAGTACAAAGACCGAGGTTGCGTTTTTCTACGCCTCCCTCTCTCTCTCTCTCTCTCTCTGATACTAGTGCAGTTTTTATTTATTTGCTCGGAGCTTCGAATATATTATTTAGTTTTACAAAACGGCTCCACATTTTGGCCACATCCGAGGCACGACTGCTACATGTACACTTATTACTAGAGCACAATAATAATGCATGCAGAAAAATGCATCTTTTTTTTTGAGATCTACAACCTTACTTTTGACACCGAATGTGCAAATCTTTGAATTATTAAGATTTATCGAAAAAACAAATTTTTTTTTTTTTTTTTTTCGAACCGGTAAAACAAGTATTACCTTTACGGGCACAAAGGCATGAAAATACCATTTTTTGGGTCCATATGTACATATAGATACTTTATTGATCTGGTAAAAATGAAAGGCACTTTTGTGAAGCAGAGTCTAGATACTATATTATATTAATCACGATACGTGAACTCTTGAGAGGAGATAATGCAATTTAGTTTAGCTTTTACCGGAGGGGTTTATTAAATAATATCACACAAGTATGGAAAAGATTAAAGCCATAGGAGGAGAAGAAGCCCGCGAGGCGAAGGAGAACTTGTTTTATATACAATAAAATACTTCGTATAGGTATACCTACTACATTCAATGACATAAAAAAAAAAAAAAAAAATGTACACATATACACGTGCAGGTCTTCTGACGGCCATCAATTGCTACGACGTGAAGTGGGCCACGAGGGTGCAGGACGTATTCACGGGCACGAAGATATTCGCCCTCGTGAGCATCGTGATGGCCGGGCTTTATTGGCTCGGTATCGGCCACACCGAGAACTTCCAGTATCCCATGGCTGGCTCCAACACGGGCCCCAGCTCCGTCGCCTTGGCCTTCTACTCGGGCATTTTCTCCTACTCCGGATGGAACTACCTGAACTTTGTCACCGAGGAGCTCAAGGAGCCCTACAAGTAATGCACCAAATCGATTAACGCAATAATTCACACAATATCCACACACACACATGCATCCTTGGTTATATCGATTTACTTTGTTCGCAGGAACCTTCCCCGGGCCATTTGTATCTCCATGCCACTGGTCACCGTGATTTTCGTGCTCACTAACGTGGCCTACTTCGTCGTGTTGACGCGCGAGGAAATACTCGCGTCCAACGCCGTTGCGTTCGTAAGTCCCATTGTATATTATATACATGCACCGATGCACGCGCAAACGAGAAACAACGTGAAACAAAACCAAATTTATTTCAGACCTTCGGGGACAAGCTGTTTGGCACCATGTCGTGGATAATGCCGTTGTTTGTCGCCTGCTCGACCTTCGGGGCTCTCAACGGGGCCATATTCGCGAGCGCGAGGCTATTTTTCGTGGGCGCGCGGAACGGCCACCTGCCCACCGCCATATCTCTGATCAACGTCCGCAATCTCACGCCGATGCCTTCCCTCATTTTTCTCGTTAGTTGAACCCTGCACATATATATATTATCATTTTGACACTCGTACAATTATGTATATACATACCTGCACGTCATGTGGTGTGTTGTTTCAGTGCATCGTTACCATCGTGTTGCTGTTCTTCAACGACGTCTACTCGTTGATCAACTACGTGAGTTTCGTCGAGACTCTGTTCACCACGATGTCGGTGACAGCTCTGCTCTGGCTTCGGTACAAAAAGCCGGATCTGCACAGGCCCATCAAAGTGAGTTTACACCCACCATCAGTGGCATCAACTATAATATGTGGATAGTTGAAAAATGTAGCGATTTTTTTTTTTTCTTTTTTTTCCACAGGTGCCCCTGATACTGCCAATCACCTTCTTTTTGATTTGCATTGCTTTGGTGACACTGCCGTGCGTCTCTTCGCCCTGGGAAGTCGGTATGGGCACGGCTTTCGTGATATCCGGTATTCCGGTCTACGGTGTATTCATCTACTGGCCCAACAAGCCCAAATGGTTGACATCCGCATCGCGTAAGTCCCGTTGATCCGTATACAATATTGATTACACCAAAAAACAAAAACAAAAAAATCACACTCATATTATTTTCACAGATAAATTCAACATGATGTGCGCGAAACTGTTCCTGTGCGTGCAGGAAAATACAACGGACTAGACGTAATATGTATGGTATGTAGACGTGCAATATGTAGTTTTATAGGCTACATAAAATCATATGCATACCGCGATCAGAAAAAAAAAAAAAAGAGAACCAAGTAAGTTGAATCTACATTATAGGGATACAATCATCGAAGCATAATAATAATAATGATTGCAGTAACAATAAGTAATTTTTCGAGCGATAAATTGACCAATACAAAGTGCCCGTGGACTAGCTCAATTTTACATAGCTTTTATTTATTATTATCATCATTATGATTATTATACACACATATATATATACTGATTTCCATTTACCATGCATAATACCGCTGGCACATGTAATTGAACTCACTGATATTGTAATATGCAAGTATTAGTATGAATTTTTATAGAATATAGACTGTATAGGGTTGTTGGAAAAACACAAAAAAACACGGATATATTGTTTTTTTTTTTTTTTGTGTAAGAGAGAAAGGACGAAAGTAACTCTTAGCCAAATCGTTGACTGCTACCTGCTACAGAGCAATAAGTGCGCATCTAATATAGTCTTCCTTAAACGTATTTAATTAATGAATGATGATGCGCTAGATAGAGCATTTTTTTTTTTTTTTTGAGAGAGAGAGAAACTCTATGTATATTAGTTGGATTTTTTTTTGATAATATACAATCTTATAGAATATTAAATGAATTTCCATCGGTACTTTTTATGTACGCGATTGAGCAATCGAGTTGTTTACAGCGTTTATACATGAATAATTTTTGAATCATGTATGTACAATTATCAAATCATGAAATTGTTTTACGTATCGGACATGGCGATATTTGTATTTCGCGCCATCGAACTTTTACCGACCGAGAAGCTTGAATTGATAAGGTAGAATTTTACCGCCACATGTCTTCTTTTTTAGACTTTTTTATAAATTTTTTATCGTGTTCTCGTCTCCCAAGCTCGTAAATTTTAAATAGTACGATAATTAATTATTTTTATGATGAACGTGAAAAATGCCTCATACAATCTACAATAATTTGCTAATTTCTTTTATAATTATACCCATACCTATTCACAGTTTGATTATTCCATATATACAATTATAGTATACATTTATGCAAAGATATAGATAAATACGATCTTTTAAGATTGTACCTACGTGCTGACAATTATATTGTAAATAGGATGTAAAACTATTTAATACTAGATATAAACTGCGTAAAATTTGAAAACAGTATCATAAAAAATTTAGATAATCACATGCCATTTTTAAAAACAATGTGATGAAGTTGGTGCCTCAAAGACTCTAATTAATAATTGTTTACGTGTCTGTAATGTTTTTCTTTTATCTGCACAAAAAAAAAAGTATTTTTATATCGAAGAGGATTGAATAAAAAAAACGAAAAACATTAATTGTAGGCGCATTATAAATTTATTTGAATTAAGTAGCACATAAATTTTTACAAAATATATATATTCATTCAATTTCAAGCAGTTTGTGATATATATAACAATTAATAACAATTAGACAATATCATTTTGGGTAATTCGATGTAATTCCTTATACCTATTACATTATTACCTAACAACTAATCCAAATGAACCACTGCAAAGCATTAAGATGTTACGATCATTATTCTTACAATATCTGTCGAAAAAAAAAAACTTTTTCTCAATATTTTTAAGCATACACATAAAGGAACAAAATTATTAAAAATCATTTAGTTCAATACTGATAATATGAATTGTAATCTGCACGAATGTTGCATTTAATTGTACAAATAAATAATTATTAATACAACCATGAGAAACAACTTTTTCAGGAAATATCCTGCCATTACCTTTGTTAAGATCTTAAATAAATAAGTAGTAAAATTGTACTTTCTTCCTACAGGCACTCAAAAGGCGTGCAATAAGAAGCTTTGCTTCATTCATGCTTATTTTTTTCAAAGGCACATATAAAGGAACATAAGAAATCCAATTGACGCTCCAACCAAGTAATTGAACTCTAGTATAGGAGACTCTTTCGAATTTCTGAAAAAAAAAAACGACATTTGTCATTAACATATGAAAGGTTGCTTCATAATTACTTGAAAAATTTTCACATTACCTTTTTTTAGATGGGGAGAATGGTGAAGGTGGATTAACACCTGGAACGTGGCTATCTTGATAAAGAATAACCCAACTGAGTCCAGTAGTTGCAAAACCGCTAATTACTGCTTTGATAAGCCAGCTGTACTTGTGAAGTGGCTCGATAATGGTCTTATCTGCTATGTCCTTGTACATTGGAATGCTTTTATTTATTTTATCAGTATCTATATCCAAAGAATGTAGAAAATCTGTAAAGAAAATCGATACACTATATTTCAATATTTAGATTTTTTTTTTTTTTTTTTCTATCAAGATCTAAATATTTGCAGAGTCAATCTGTGATTAATGCGTGGAGAAAAAAGATATGAATAAAAAAAGTAAATAGACAAGCTTATAGTATGATAACAATCCGTCATATATTTATATCATTTAATCAAAAAAGAGATAGTCGATACATGTGTTACTGCACATTACATAAATAAATATTTATACATCCAAAGTACAGAAAAATAAACAAGACTCTCTATTTTCACTAATGTATGAACAAGTTTACAATCAGGTACTTTGACTGGCAGCATGACAGACATATTTACAAATCAACAAAAACTGTTAAAGAGATAAAACACACACACGGCCGGCCGCTCTATACACGTATCTATAGTAGTTATAGATAATGATAATGATAATATTCACATCGCACTAAAATTCGGTTCGCACTGCACATTAGATGGAGTAAAAATACACTTGACCCCGAAAATGAGAATAATAATCATAAGTTAGCTTGGCGAGTTTGAATGAAAATAAAGAGCAATCAAGAGGCTCGTCTACATGTGTGTTCTTGAAAGAGATAAAGATTAGTCGTCATTGACGCTAGGGCCGGATGAGCTCTCACCATGGCTAAGGAAGAGCTTGCCAAAGAAGATGCTCGAGGAAAGGAGGAACAGTAAAAACGTGAAGGTCCACTCGTTGAGGGTCGGCCTCCTCCACAGGGACTCCAGATTCTCGACGAATGAGTCGCAGCTCCGCTCGATATCCTCCTCTTTCTCCTGAACTTTTTCAAAGACGTGCTTGTGTTTGCCGTTGGTGTAGGGCTGCTGATCCAGGAACGACATCGTGCAGGTAGATTTGACTGCGTCGCTTTACTCCACAGGTGTCACGAACTCACGAGACTCCGATCTGCACTCTGTCTCTATGGGTATACTGCGTTAACGCAGGCTTTAATTTTTTTAAGTATTACCAAAGTACTTAGCCTATACCGATGATAGATTTAGTCGTTAAATTTATCACTAACTTTAACCGTCCGTAGGGGCGAGTGAAAGTGTAAGATAAGCAAACGGTTTTTACACAGCTAATACTTTGTACTTAAGGTATAGAAAGTAGATATAAGTAGAGGTGTTAATTAAGCCTTTTGTCGGCTGTGGCGATAAGACACCTCTGTGAAATACGTACTACCGCTTACATTCGGACCGGACACCCAAAATGACTAAATAACTAAAGACAGCCGATGACGCATCAGTCACGGCTGCGATGATGCCACACCGGCCTTCTCCCCTTTTTTTTTTTTTTTGTTCACTCGCACACTCTCTTTATTTTTACTGCACCCTGCACCTCTCAAAACTCAAAAATATGACGTTTGCACCTACACATAGCCCGTGATTCCACAGATATATAT